ACCCAACCACCATATAAAGTGGACCATTGTTCCTTTCCATTCCCACTGGGAGCTTTCTCACAGCCAACACTACTCATCATCTCTTTGGAGTCCTCCATTGTCCAGATCCTCCATGAGAACAGACTGCCCCCTACTTTGTTATTCCCTAAGCCAGGCAGGCAGGTGCTAGGCTTACTGTAGTTGCTGATGAACTCACTGTGGATGAATGAGCCAACACGGTTTTTCTAGACCACTTAGATAAGAATCCAGTTCACTTCATTTCTTCTTCCCTTGTTTCCTGCCTGTGGAGAGGTTGCATCTCGTGGATTCCCAGGTGCTCAAAATGATTACCTGCCAAATGGTGTTAATTACTTCTGAAAGAGATGGAAAAATATGGATATAGCCAAAGATTAGTAATCATCTAGGTCAAGTGAATTTAGTGTTCAAAGGTAGCATTCTTGTTTAGGACTGCCATCTAGTGTCTGCTACAGCAAACAGCATGACATGTCAATGGCTGTGATTCCAAGACACAAATGCCATACTTACATGTATTTGTAGGGGTAAAAAGCTGTCTTTTAAAACAAAAATATTGTTAAGTAGTTAATTGCTAGAGATGTGTTTTTGTATTTTGTAGTTTACATATAGGAATTTAAAAGTTGCCGGGCGGTGGTGGCGCACGCCTTTAATCCCAGCACTCGGGAGGCAGAGCCAGGAGGATCACTGTGAGTTCGAGGCCAGCCTGGGCTACCAAGTGAGTTCCAGGAAAGGCGCAAAGCTACACAGAGAAACCCTGTCTCGAAAAACCAAAAAAAAAAAAAAAAAAAGTATTATCTTGTTCCAGTTCAGTTCAATTGACCTTTTCCCCCTTTGAGAAAGAATCTATCTCATTATGTAGTCCAAACTGGTCTCCAACATTCAGGAATCCTCCTGCCTTAGCTTCCAGAGTCCTAGGATTACAGGCATGAGCCACCACACCTGGCTCGCTCTATCTATCAATCTATCTATCTATCTATCTATCTATCTATCTATCTGTCTGTCTGTCCGTCCGTCTGTCTATCTACCTATCCGTCCATCTATGTTTTGAGAAGATCTCAATATGTAGTCTTGCCTGACCTGGACTCACTTTGTAGAGCAGGTTGGCCTGCAACTCACAGAGATATGCTTGCCTCTGCCTCCTGAGTGCTGGCATTGAAGGAGTGTACCACTAATCATGGCTTCAGCTGAAAAGGTAATATCTATTTGAATGTGTATGTGGTGCTGGAGGCATTAAAATGCTAAAACTGCTGCATTGTCTTAGAGAAGTCTGAGTTTTCAGTCTTCCTCTTCTGAAGTGTTAAGGCTGGGATTGTAATGGTAGCACTAGGTAGGATGCTGGTAGCTGGGATGACCACAGTGCTGGAAATGCTCTTTATCAGCCTTAATGACACTCACATCAGCAATGACAGGGCTGGGGACTAGGATTGTGTGAGGGTCTTCACAAGTTTGCATGGTGGACATGGAGCAGGGTAACTGTCAGGAAAGACCCTTACTTGGAGAATAATAGCCTTGCATTATTTACTCATGTACTGGTCCCTCAATGCATACCCAAGTTTGTTTATGCCTGTGCAAATACACACAGGCACACCCACACATCCCATTCCTTCCCATGTGTGATGGCCCTGCACCATCTCTTCTTATTAGGATAACACCTGGGCTTTGGGACTTTTGGAATGCATCGAAAAAAGAACAAGTAATTAGAAAGAATGAACCAGCTTGTTGGACTTGATGTACTCCCATCCATCTCTCCAGATTCAGGAGAGGACCACCTTTCTCAGAATCACTCCCACCACAGAGGGTTCTCACATCCTAAGGGGCCAGTGGGAATAACTGTCAAGGAAGGAGTGGCCGAGTGACCTGCACCAACGGTAGAAGGAGGACACTCATTCCTTATTCCTCACTGTATTCTAAGTGGAAGCTGTTGCTCAGGAACTAGGCGGGGTCCCTAGCACATGAATGGAGGAAGTGGAATTAAAACCAAGCCTGGTTGCTTCAAAACTGTGTCTCTCCATCCCTAACATCACCAGAAGTTGTAATCTCCACCCACAAGCAACCTTACACATTTTGGGTCAGTCTAGTATGGCCTTCTGAAGGGCTAAAGCATGAAGAACTTCCTGCTGATGTTGCATGGTTACTTTTTTTTCTTTTCTTTTTCTTTTTCCAGACAGCTTTGGAGCCTGTCCTGGAACTCGCTCTGTAGCCTAGGCTGGCCTCGAACTCACAGAGATTTGCCTGCCTCTGCCTCCCAAGTGCTGGAATTAAAGGCGTGCGCCACCACCGCACATGGTTTCTTTATATACTCAACAGAAATCTGTAGTGTAGAATACATAGCATACATGTGAATAGCATATAGTGATAAATGCATTTCATTAAGTTTATATCCTAAAGGTTATCAACTATCAGATTACGTAATTTAATATGTGGCTTCCATTCCTAAAATAGTATCTTGCTCTTAAGCTTTTTTTTTGTTTGTTTCTAGTTCCTTACAAACTAGACAGTTCATTATCTATATATTTAATTCTGTCCTGCATGGAAACAGCCTGAACAGTATGACATGACAAAAGCTTAGCTACCTGTAATCTTCATCATACACACAAACATCCAAGATCACATGACAATCACCACAATGTTTCATCAGTGTCCTCATTTCATAGGAAGGTCATATCCTTAATCTGAACTTTTGCTTGGAGCTCATATTAATAAAAGTTTTCTTGCCCACAAGCTTATTCAAAAGTTACTTCAAATTCTAAGACTCCATGGGACACTTGTTAAGACTCAGGTTGCTTTAAAGTTGATGTCCCAAATTCTCTGTTTTCCATTTTAGAGGGTGACTTCTGAAGATTCTGATTGGATGACCTCAGGACAGGCTGACTAATGAAGCACCAGCATATAATTTTCAAAAAGTTAAAAATGTGACTCACATATAAACACTACATGTGGTAAGCTCATATATCTGTCAAAGAATGATTGAACACATTAGTGAGTAAGCAAGCTGCATGACAAAGTTAGTTCAAAGGATATAGGAAGATAAAATGTGTATTTACTCAGGGAAGGAAGAGTGCTGCAGAGACTGAGAATTTAGAGACATGATTCAGCCTTGTACAATACAAACAGAACTTTCAGGCTTATCTTTTCTAATGCAAATAATTAATTTGAATCTACTCCGGGCAAAACTTACTAATTAATTGCATTTAAAGAGTTATGGCTTGGTTGACTCAGCTTGAAGGGTCATAAGTAAACACATCCCAGACTCAGATTTACAAGTCTAAGATTTCAAAATGAGTTGCTAATTTATAGTGAAGGGGAGACAAGCTGGGGAGCTGGATTGCTACTTTCCCAGGGGAGGTGAACACTTATCAGATGAAGAAGGCCCTCATTCATTCATTACCCACACAATCAGAGCAAGTGGCATGTTCTTACTTCTGTTACTAAACCATATTAGTACATTATTATACATTCAGTAGTTTGTATGATAATGTGTTACAATGCCCATTCCACAGTCCATACAGGATGGCAGCTCTAACATGGTTCTATGCGGGCAACTCATCCATCCCTAATCTCATTAGGCTGTTAATTCCCAGAGGACACAAGCCTAGTAGATGCTGTTTCCAAATGCTAAACAAATGTTCTTAAGTGAAACCACAGGATCATTTTCAGTCTTAGAAAATACGCTTTGTCTTGCAAACATCCCTGAACTCAATTTGTACAACCTTGTGACTTTACCACACTTCAATGCTAACAACCTCACCACATATTTTCTTGCAGACATTTACTTGAATACAGATTTCTGATAGAACTGGGGAACTTCCTTTGTTCCTAAATGTAGAATTGTACTAATTATACAAGCAGTTTTCCTTGCATTTTCTCTAACAAAAAACGTTGTAATTAATTGGTGCCTAAGGATGAAATATGAAGCTGAAGATCTTAAACTAACAAAGCCAATTTGAATAGAATACAGATTGCCCTATTCAGAGGAGCTGAGAAGAGGTGACCACAGAGCTGTCCACTACAGATGGCATGACCATTTGTACTTATTTCTTACCTTCCTATTAAACATTCACTACATTTTCCATCTCAAATCTTCAGATTGGTCAAATCTAAGTCAAACGTATCCTTTAGGAAAGTCAGTAACTTTATTTCCATCTCTACCTTATACAGAAGGCCCTCCTGTACCAAGACAAACTATTTCTAAATTAGAATTTCCATGTTCTGAAATTCTGTGTTCCAGCAAAATAAGCAAGTATTTGCTCCTTGCTTTAAAAAACGTATCTTTTAAAATCTCTAATTGACACTTGGTGGGAGGGGGCGCTCATGCAGGCTTATGGGGTTCCTTTCCCTTCTTATTATCTCTATTCTTTCGGGCTAGACCCCCTGCCTTGCAAAACTCAGAGGGGAACCAAGAGCTTTAAAAATACAGCCCGAGGACGTTTCCCTTTCGGAGAGGAGAAAAGGGTGCCCCGCCCCCACCAGTGAAAAGAATTTGACAGTGTCTTTAAATCAGATATTTCAGTCCTAAGCCCCCCACCACATGGCACACCCCCAAGGCCTATGAACCCCCTCTCAACCTGCCCAAACTGCTTTAGACTGGAAATCCCAGTCCTAGTCCACGGTTATGGTGGGTCTGTACTCAGAAGTCACCAAGGACTTGTGTTACTTCCCTTGCGAAGAAACAGAATAATCGTGAAAATTTAGGCGGAAATCGTTTCGTTTTTGTCCCTAAATTAAGGAAAGCATGTGCCCTATAATCCCTGAGAAAAAGAACTTTCAGGGGCAAAGGAGCGACCAGGTAATTTAGAAGAAAAACAGAAAGTGGTCTCTATTTGCCCCGGACTTCCTTTGGAGTTGGGGGAGTTAGGGACTCCTAGGCGCGTTGTCTTTGGGGATAAGGAAAAAATAAACAGATAATCCGACGCCTGAGGCTTCTCGGATCCTTTTCCGACCAAAGTCGAGAGATTTGGTGCAAGACATTTTAATATTTTCTCCTTTTTGTGAAGTGTAACAAACACAAGTTGGGCGCAGCGCGGCTGCTCTGAGCTTGCCAGCCAGGCAGGCCGCCGGAGCACCAATCAGCGCGCGCCTGCGCTCTATATATACGGCGGCCGGGCCCGCGCTACTCCATCGGCGTTTTGCCACTAGTTCCTGAGTTTCGGATCCTCATCATGTCGGAGACTGCTCCTGCCGCCCCCGCCGCCGCTCCCCCTGCGGAGAAGGCTCCGGCGAAGAAGAAGGCTGCCAAGAAGCCGGCCGGGGCTCGCCGTAAGGCGTCCGGCCCCCCGGTGTCCGAGCTCATCACCAAGGCTGTAGCCGCCTCCAAGGAGCGCAGCGGCGTGTCCCTGGCCGCGCTCAAGAAGGCGCTGGCGGCCGCCGGCTACGACGTGGAGAAGAACAACAGCCGCATCAAGCTGGGGCTCAAGAGCCTGGTGAGCAAGGGCACCCTGGTGCAGACCAAGGGCACCGGCGCCTCCGGCTCCTTCAAGCTCAACAAGAAGGCGGCTTCCGGCGAGGCCAAGCCCAAAGCCAAGAAGGCAGGCGCGGCCAAGGCCAAGAAGCCCGCGGGCGCGGCCAAGAAGCCCAAGAAGGCGACTGGTGCTGCCACACCCAAGAAAGCCGCCAAGAAGACCCCGAAGAAGGCGAAGAAGCCCGCGGCGGCTGCCGTGACCAAGAAAGTGGCCAAGAGTCCAAAGAAGGCTAAGGTTGCCAAGCCCAAGAAGGTCAAGAGCGCGTCTAAGGCCGTGAAACCGAAGGCTGCCAAGCCCAAGGTTGCTAAGCCCAAGAAGGTTGCGGCCAAGAAGAAGTAGGCTGTCTTCCTCCTTCAACCCAAAAGGCTCTTTTCAGAGCCACCACTCCCACTTGGAAGAGCTGTGACACTGGCTGTAAAAGCTCCCTCCTTCCACCTTGCGTTCTGCAGAAGTGGGATGCAATCCCGTCGGCGCTCCGAGGGGTGGGGTTCCCTAGCTCCTCTAGGAAGATGCCTGTGCGGGCGGCCGAGGAAGGGCTAGGTGCCGGCTGCACCCTCGGCTTCCACGGCTGTCAGCAGCAAGGAGCAGCCCCGGGCGCCAGTCAGTGTTGGGCTGCTAGGTGATTTGAAAGTTCCGCCCTGCTTGCGGGTTGGCTCGCTCCCGCCCCGGACCTTAGTCCTCGGTTTGATTGGGCGCCAGGCGGTCTTGCGTTCTCCCGAAGCTTTTTCGCTCCATGCGTGAGAACCGCATCCCGCACTCTTTGCTAGGGTGGCTTACGTGCTGAGTCTTCCGGGGGGGTGTTTGTGCCTCCAAGTGTGGAGGAGGTCGGGTCCCGGCGCCGCGGATCTGACTTCCTTTAAAGACCTTTCAGCGGTAGCTGCGCAAGGGGCCCGCCCGCCCAGTTATGCCGGACCTGGGACTGGTTTTCTCCTACTTTCGGTTTGTTGGCTACAGCAAGGGAATGGTGGCTCGAACTGCGTCACAACCTTGGTCAGCCATCTTTTTTTTTCTAACACCCCCCCCCCCCCCCCAAAGTGCATGATCTATCGATTCTTTGACTTGTTTTGCCCTATTTTGACACAGGGTCTCATTTTAGATTGTCCTCGGATCCGCATTGCCTCAGCTTCCCGAAGTGCTTAAGTTAGAGATGCGTGTCGACTCCAAAGACCGACCTCGCACCCAAACTGAGGCTTCTTGCTATGCTTTGTGCAGTCCGAGATATTTAAGCAAAGAGTAAATTACTGGCTATCTGTTGAAGATGTGTTCTTCTAATAAAAAGCCTTTAATTTTCACTCACTCTTGGTGATTCTTTCATACCCGCAGCAGGGTGGTTGAGATCCAGGTTTTGTGGGAGCCTGGATCGAATTGCTGGTGTTTCCTATAGAGATGAGAATCGTGCCTTTTAAAGACCTGTAGCAAGCATTTCCACAATGGATCCAGTATTTATTTCAGTATCCCTAGAGTTTATCACCTGGGAAAGCCGGGAGATCAAGAAAGGAAAATTTTCTCCCAGTGTTTTTGAGTCCTCAGTTTAAATGAACAAACAGCTTTTTTAGCACAAAGCATAGTAAGCTGACCGGTCCTCCCCACCTGACGCCCTCAGGGCTGTCTGAACTCTCCATTCTTCCCAGCTTTTGTTTCACGTTTGCCATTGGCTAAGTTCCTTGGAGAGACTAAATTAAAGTTCCTGGTTGGGGCTTTCTGGTAGTTTCTAAGGCAGAATTAGTCTTTTAACTATTCAGAGTGGAGGGTACTTAACACATAGCAAGAATTCAAATATTGTTTGGTAAACCTGATAACCTTATAATACTTCAAATGGGGATAAGAATTAATTCCTTCCCAAAATCTCTCCCTTCACCCCACCCCCTAGGGTTTCTCTGTGTAGCCCTGGCTGTCCTGGAACTCTGTCCATCAGGCTGGCCTCGAACTCAGACCTGCCTGCCTCTGCCTTCCTAGTGCTGGGATTAAAGATGTGTTCCACCGCCGCCGGGCTTCTCATAATCTTCTAAGGCGTTCCTTCTATATTTTGATTAATAGTTAATTAGTTGCCCAGGGGACTGAACATGCTATCAGGTGTTCTACCACTGAAATGTGTCCCCTTGTTTTGTATTTTGTGAACTAGGTCTCATCCTGTCTGTAGCCCAGACTGGCCTGAACCTTGTGAGCTTCCTGCCTCAGCCTCCTGTAGCTGGGATAACAGGTCTTTGCCTCCATGCCCAGTTATGTTCCTTCCTCCCTCCCTCCCTCTCTCTTTTCTTCTTCCACCTCCTCCTCCTCCTCCTCCTCCTCCCCCTCCTCCTCCTCCTCCTCCCCCTCCTCCACCTCCTCCTCCTCCTCCTCCTCCTCCTCCTCCTCCTCCTCCTTCTCTTCTTCTTGTGTGTCTAATATGTATTTTAAGATGTTCTCTAGTATCCCATCACTCAGAAGAAAGCGTCTTGGCATTTTTATTGAGATGGTGTTTAAAAAAAATTGTGGAGCTACCAGTTATGAAACAACATGTGTTTTTTTTCTTTTCTTTCTGTTGAGGTATTTGTGTTAGCTCCCTAGAAATCTTTAAATTTTCTCCAAATATGTCTTAATAATTCTTACTTTTTTTTTTTTTTTTTTTTTTTTTTTTTTTTTTTTTTTTTTGGTTTTTCGAGACAGGGTTTCTCTGTGTAGCTTTGCGCCTTTCCTGGAACTCACTTGGTAGCCCAGACTGGCCTCGAACTCACAGAGATCCGCCTGGCTCTGCCTCCCGAGTGCTGGGATTAAAGGCGTGCGCCACCACCGCCCGGCATAATTCTTACTTTTAATCCTATAAACTTATCTTTAGTGCTGTTGGCAATAGCACTTTATGAGATTTGGTTCTTTTAGGGACATCCCATGAAGTGGACATTAAAACTTAGTTATTGAAGCAAATGAATTAACAATTTTAGGACAGGTCTGTTCATTGATACATAAGATAAGCACAGATACAACACATTTATAACTTTAAAACCTAAAAGCACTATTCATAAGGAAAAAAGCTAAACAGGTAGAATCCATTTTTAATCCAGTATATCCAAAATATTATCATTCAATGTAAAATGAATATAAAATAGGTAATATTCTACATTTTTGTTTCTTACTGCATCTTTGTGATATCATATGTATTTTCTACTTACAGGGTATTTCATTTCAGAATATGTACTATTTCCTATGTTTGGTTAGCCACCTGTGGCTGTGGAGCTAATAAAAATAAATACAACTTCAGAATGACCTCAGACCTCTGTGCTCATCTTCATTTATGATGAGGGTGCTTAAAAATATGTACTGTTCATATATTGTATATTGAAATTATGAAGACAAAATGTCTGGAGTGTTCCTCATGTCATTGGGCCTAGTTGAGACAATCAGAAATTTTCTGTTCAAAATGGGATTGAGCTGGGTGTGAAGACTATTCCCAGCTATCTGGAGATGGAGGCAGCAGGATCTCCGTGAGTTTGAGGCCGGGCAGGGTTACATAGTGAGACCCTCAGTGAAAAATAAATCAATTAAAAAATAATTAAAAGATGGAACTGAGTTATAGGAGCAGAGGTAAACTGATGTCAGGGCACTGGGGCTTGTCTTCTGAGCCCCCAGAAAGGAGAAACCAAATCTGTTGAGCAAAAGAGTAGAACAGAGCTAAATTACAGGTTAGGGCCCAGACAAGAGATGTGCAGGTCTGCATTCTTGTCCCTCCAGTCCGCTTTCCCACTTCCTCCCTGAGCCCTGTGAACTCCTGTCACTGGAAATTCCTCACGGACCTGAATTGAATCACGTTGTAGCAACCCGGAGATCTAATCGTGGATGCTAACTATAGCACAGGGTGGGGCGGCGCGTTTGTGAAGCCAACCCTTAGAAAGCTAGAACAGGAGGATCTTTGTTGTACACCAAACGGAACTGCTTAGCCAAATCTTATCCGAAAAACAAACAAAAACCCTGTTGGGTGTGGTGGTCACACCTTTAATCCCAGGCACTTGGGAGCAGAGGCAGGAGGATCTCTGTGAGTTCGAGACTAGACTGGTCTACAGAGTGAGTTCTAGGACAGCCAGGGCTATGTAGAGAGACTGTCAAAGCAAACCAAACCAAAACAACAAACACACATACAAACACAACCACAGCAAAAATCAAAATAACCAAACACCCAACCCACAAAAATGTTACTGCAGATAAAACCACAGATAATGTTTAAAATAAGACTGAGGCTGTGTGCATGTAGCTCAGTGGAAGGCTGTTTGTCTGTCATGAGGCCTTGAGTTCCATCACCAATAAATAAATAAATATAATAATAATATAATAACAAAGCTCAAAGTAAATAGCACTGTTCAAAATATCCACCACAGTGCACCTTCTTCAAGCACTTTTAAATCTACATATTTACTTGATTTCTACACTCCAGGAGTTAGATATGACAAATCATCCCAAGAAAAGATAATTGATTTTATGATTTTCATTCAGTCCTTCTTTGCATTTTAATTTATTGGATTTAGTTGTTTAAAGTTGATCTGAATATAGGAAATGTTGTATAAACATATTTTTGTAGATTTTTTTTTCCTTTTATACTTTCCCATCCATTTTGGTCCTAGAGGTGAAGCCAAGGGCCTTGAGTATGCCGGACAAATGATCTCCCCTTGAGCTACATACTCAGTCCCCATTTGTACCTTTATACGGGACATTTTCCTTCAATTATTTGAGATCTAAGAGGTATAACTCACCTAGAGCCTTTAGATACAACATTCCACACACACCCCGGCACCCCCTCCACCCCACACCCCCATCTTCTTTACTCTTTTCTTCCCCTCAGAACGCAAGTGCTTCAAGAGGCGACTGCCGAAGGTCTGACCAGCTATTCACCCTGAGCCTAAAAATTGGTCTGTTTAAGAAAAATCCTTTTCTCAGCTTATGTTTATGAAATTGTCAGCAAGGACTCTCCCTCTGCTTTTGAGGATCTGTGAACTGTGAGCTGATAAAGCTCAGATGAGGAGGAGCTTTATCCCCAAGTTCATTCGTATTCTGTAAGCACAGGGGTCACAGAAAATGAATGAAACTCAGAGAGGAAGTTAGACTGAGGAATTCAGAGTGAATTATGGTAGCTCAGCAGAGGGGTTCAAGTTTCAAAAGATGACATGGTTGGTGAAAACTGGTAGGAGGCAGGCATTCACACCCTGTTGACAGTCCTGTCCTCTGAGGAAGGCCTCATGTCACTGCCCTCTCTACACCCAGCATGGTAGGAAGTGCTCTCCTTTTCCAAGTACAAGAATGGAGATTCCTTCACAAGGCAACGATGCATCTGCTGATTTTCAGTTCATAATAATTCTCATGCCAACACGGCAAACACTGAGTACCATTCTCTTTTCTTTCCAAGCTTATATCCATCCTTACTAATTTTATAATTTTCAACAATTAGATATACTATTACTTCCCTAGGCCTAAAGCTAACAGGTAGTTGAGCTATGCATACTGGGAGGAAAATGTAGACAATAGCTTTGTGTTTGAAATCCCAGCTAGAGATGAACAGAAGCCATGCATGCATGATTAATTAGTCCATCAGAGGAGTTTGGAAGGGATCAGGGATTAGGGGCTGCTGCTAACAACACTTAGGGAGAGCTAGCATTTCCCGTGCACTTAATTGTAGTAAACTAAACACAGTAGCTATTTATTACACACTTATTTCACAACACAGTCTTGGCATAGCACGTTGAGGTGGGTGTTATTACTACTCCCATTTTAGAGATTAAGATGGAGGCTTGGCAACATTAAGGATTCATTAGCTAGCTTCTGATCTCTGAGTCAGTAACATTATCTTCTATATAGTAATAATTTTCCACAAATCTGTATGAGACATACATTTAATTAAAATTTTCTCATCTTGCATTAAAATCTAAAAAGAGCTAAAACCTATTTTGATGCTGTCAACCTAGGCTAAACAAATATTTCAATAAATAATAAGAAAATATTTTGTCAATATTTTTGCATATGAAGTCTTTGTAATCTGGAATCCACTCTACATTTAAAGCACGATTTGGACTAGACTAGCTAAATTTCAAATGTTTGTCTGCCATACAGTTCTCATAAATAATAGTGTAGGGGAAACAAAAACACATGCTCTGGGTAGTATGTAGCTATTTCCAAGGAAACAATAATTCTGGTATGGGCCAGAAGTTTAGAGAGAATCATTAATGTCTTGTGTCTTACTGGCTTTCCTATGCCTCTTCATACCAGCTCTGACCAAGTTCAGAATCTAATCAAGGCCCGTATATCACAGCTTCTCCTGTCTACCTGGGGGCAACCTTATATCTGAAACAGAATCACCTTTGAAGAAGATGAAGTAATTATATTTGATCATCCATTTGGGTACAAACCTATTTAGCAGAAGATATTAATTGTATTTGTTTGCTGTGCGACTGGCTGGTAATATTTGCTGGTAGTTACCTTATTAAAATTCCTTAGTCTGACGTGGGTGAAAATGATTTGAAAGCTAGTGTTAATTATAACTAGTAATCCAGTCTAACTACCTTTACATTTGTTTGTTTTGAGACAAGATGTCAGTTTGCTGCCCATGCTGACATATAACTCACTATATATGACAGCAAGGCCTTAAATTCCTCATCATCTTGCTTCAACCTCCTGATGAGATTAAGGAGTCCTAGTATTTGATCCATGTGATTCACACCTGTGTTGTCTGCTGGGGTCTCCCTAATGATCCACTGTTCTAATTTTACTTTTTTCCACAAGGACCTCTTTCTTTTTAGGAAGATGCTATTCAATACTGAACGAATTGATAAAGTGTTCTAAAGGTGTACCTGGACTTTCAATTGAGGTCAAAAGTGTTCAAATTGCTTATAATTGACTGTATTGGTTTTATTGATCACCTCATGCTCCCCATTCCCCCATTTCTGTAATAATGTCATCACCATCCAAAGCATTCTAGAAAGCAGCTATGCCCCAGGGCCAGAGAGTCTCAATGCAGATGAGCGTCTGCAAAAGTGAATGTAAACAGAATATAGGATGCTAGTGGGGAGGCCATGTATAATTTGAAAAAGCCAAAGTTTAGAGACAGGTTGACCTGGATGTTAATGAAAACCGAGTGTCTGATCTGCCAAGGCCCTGGATGGGGTCCTAGGCCTGCAGTCATCCTGTCGTTGTTTTAAGTTATGAACCTAACTTTATTTTATTATGTATCATAGTCATTTTGGCTTGAGTTACTTCATTTCTTTGGTTTATATTTCCAATATTTGCATCATGTATAGTGAAGGCCTTCATTTTATGTTCAACTGATCATAACCTCAATTACAATTCACCTTTATGCCAGATGTGGTGGCTCATGCTTTTAGTCAGTCCCAACACCCAGAGGCAGGCAACAGTCCTGGCTACATGGAGAAACCCTGTCTCAAAAAAACAAAAAGAAAAAGAGAAAAGAAGGGAAACAACAAACCAATCAGCCTTTATATGATTGTTGGAATGGTGATGAGACTATTTGGAATTTTGGCTGAAAACTATTCAGTTACATTCATTTTTGGTTTAGTGAAATAAAGTGATCTACAAGCATGCTTATCTTACATATTAGCAATGTACAACTACAGCTCTTGCCAGCATTTCTGATGTGAGGCTTCTGGAAACACTCCTTATACTCAAGGTCACAGCCTCACCTGGACTCCTGGTAAGATCATGCAGTGTTAGATATCAGCTGATGACATGGAACATTCTTAGTTATCAGCTCTAGGTATGAATACAGTGAAGAAAAATTCTGAAACAACCAGAAGCTAGACCCAGAAGACTTCCACCAGATAATAATTCATACAGAAGACATACTTGACTGTTGATTCCCAAAATATGAACACTCCTGTAAAATTGATTACAAAAGTGAGTTTTTAAGTGGAAACTATTCCAAGTTGTCAAGAAAGTAAACTATGAACTTTACTAAAGGTAAAAGCAAATATCCACTGTGTATTAAACATAAAATATATATTTTATCGGGAATCAGTGCAGTTAAAAGAAACAGCACAGAATTATGAATGTTAATTTTGTGGGTCTTCTAAACTTAAAATTTTATATATTTCCCAACATACTCATAGGCTACCTAGATTTAGATGTGTAATTAGTATCTATCTATCCATCCTATGTCTTAATTTGGTTAGATTTGGTTTTTTTCCTGAGGGTGGCAAGATTTGTGGCTTATGACTCAGCACATTGTTAGTAAGGGACAGGCTCGCAGCACAAAACAAAAATCAAGCCTTTGACACATAGTCAGTCTCATACTATGAGCACAGAATGTTAATGTGTCCTTGATTATATCAACAGGGCTGACTTCACTAGGCCTTAGGATTCCAGGACACCTGAGATCCAGAACTAAATACAAGAACTGGAGACAAGCACAGAGAACGAATAGTTAACCTCAGAGTAATATGTAAACAGAACCTACTCATCATCCAACCACGGCGACAAGGTTACAGCACCATTACATGAAATTTTGGGTGGCTCTTAAAAGAGCCTTTTTTTTTCTTTTGAAAAGTTGAGGCTGATTACGTTAAGCCCTCTCCCCGCGGATGCGGCGGGCCAGCTGGATGTCCTTGGGCATGATGGTGACCCGCTTGGCGTGGATGGCGCACAGGTTGGTGTCCTCGAACAGACCCACCAGGTAGGCCTCGCTGGCCTCCTGCAGCGCCATCACGGCCGAGCTCTGGAAGCGCAGGTCGGTCTTGAAGTCCTGCGCGATCTCGCGCACCAGGCGCTGGAACGGCAGCTTGCGGATCAGCAGCTCGGTGGACTTCTGGTAGCGCCGGATCTCGCGCAGCGCCACGGTGCCGGGCCGGTAGCGGTGCGGCTTCTTCACGCCGCCGGTGGCCGGGGCGCTCTTGCGGGCGGCCTTGGTGGCCAGCTGCTTGCGCGGGGCCTTGCCGCCGGTGGACTTGCGGGCAGTCTGCTTGGTGCGAGCCATAGTAGTGATGAAAGCGACACAAATGTTACGGAGAAAGGGAAATCTTGCCCTTAAATATACCTAAAAACATTCTGATTGGCCTTGTGACTTTTCGAAAGTCCCGCGCCAAAACCTCATTGGCTGAGTAATAATGTGAGCGATGGTCAAGCGTTAAGCGTATCTGATTGGCCAGATATTCTGACACGCCCATGTTACTTTTTTTTTTTTTAAATTGTGGTGTTATGTAATTTTGTCTACCCTTGGAGTCTTGTCAAACTTAAGCCCCAGCAAAATCTCCAATTTGCTTTGTCTTCGTGGTGTTATTGTTTCGTCACGGTACAGTGTGTAAAGTCTTTGTAACTACTTAGGAACTGGTTAAAGTAAACTCACAATCCAGCAATCTTAATATAGATTGTTGCTCTTAAAAGGGACAAGTAATTCACGAGTTTAGGGTGAAGAGTAGTCTGCAGGCTTAATAATTTCCAAATTCTTAGATAATGTAAGAATGTTGCCGGGCGGTGGTGGCGCACGCCTTTAATCCCAGCACTCGGGAGGCAGAGCCAGGCGGATCTCTGTGAGTTCGAGGCCAGCCTGGACTACCAAGTGAGTTCCAGGAAAGGCGCAAAGCTACACAGAGAAACCCTGTCTCGAAAAACCAAAAAAAAAAAAAAAAAAAAGAATGTTGTTTCGGAATAAACTGAAGAGATAAACTATGACCGTGAGTTTACCTGTGCAGGAGCCGGAGCACGCGGCCCACGGGGAACTCCAGGCCGGCCCGGGAGGAGCGGGTCTTGGCCTTGGCGGAGCCCTGTCGCCCTGTTTGCTAGGGTCAGACATTACTTAAGTTATGTAAATAGTGAAAAGCAGGGATGAAGCTTAAGTAGACGTTTTGAGAAATTACTCTGGGTCACAAAAGAACGCCGTCCTATTGGTTAAAATAACCATGTTCTTCTGTCCAATAGAAAATGAGGCTATTTGGTCTTCATTTGCATGAGCCCTGTCGTTTTGTGAGGCCTTATTATTATCCAATGAGAAGTCAGTGCTTTTACGGCTTCATTTGAATTTCAAGACTATATATACAACAATCTAGTCCTATTCTTTTTCTTTTCCCATTCTTAGACTGGTGTGTCTTTCGGCTGGAAAGGATGCCTGAGCCTTCCAAGTCGGCTCCAGCTCCTAAGAAGGGCTCTAAGAAAGCCATCACTAAAGCCCAGAAGAAGGACGGCAAGAAGCGCAAGCGCAGCCGCAAGGAGAGCTACTCGGTGTACGTGTACAAGGTGCTGAAGCAGGTGCACCCCGACACGGGCATCTCGTCCAAGGCCATGGGCATCATGAACTCGTTCGTCAACGACATCTTCGAGCGCATCGCGGGCGAGGCGTCGCGCCTGGCGCATTACAACAAGCGCTCGACCATCACGTCCCGGGAGATCCAGACGGCCGTGCGCCTGCTGCTGCCCGGGGAGCTGGCCAAGCACGCCGTGTCCGAGGGCACCAAGGCCGTCACCAAGTACACCAGCTCCAAGTGAGCGGCGGACCTCACCGAAACCCAAAGGCTCTTTTCAGAGCCACCCACTCTATCAAAACAGGGTTGTAATTGGTGTCTTTGTGTGGCACTTAATTTGGCCTTAAGTAAATGAAGTGACGCATTTGCCCAAATTCAAGGTTGAGGTCATTTAAGTTTCCCTTGGGTTTTTAGACATTGACTTCATGTTTCTCAGTTTCTGTTTTGTGAATTTACTGTAAACCGCAGCCAGGAACCTTTTGAGTTTGTACCTGTAATTCTACAGTGTGTGGACAGTTGCTAGCGTTCTGGGAGTTGGCATTTACAGGGGTTAAAGAATTTAGGATCCTAGTGTAAAGTTAGCACTTAAACATTACAGCAAATTGAGCCGTTCAATTAAATGCAACCACAGCTTTTTAAACAATTTTTATTGTGTGCAGAAACTTTGGGCCTTTTACATACAGGGTTGGGCATTGATGGTGGCTGGAACTCAGGAGTTGAAAGTACCTGTAACCACTTAGCTGTGCTGAAACGGAACATGCTGACACTCGACTCCTAAAACTTCCGAAGTAATCTCTAGAAACTGGTAAAGGCTTTGTCTGGGAAAGGATTCAGCAGTGTCCCGAGCCTTTGGACTAGGGCAGGAAGAAGCAGAGCCAGATGGGGCAAAAGACTGAAAAGAAAAATAAGGTTTTTTCCACTGGCTTTGAGAATATGTAATAACAGATGAGGAAATAACTTCTCAAAGTGAGAAACTCATTGAAAATATTGCAAAATGTATTTTGAATCTATGATACTGGACCTGACTCCTTTTCTTGTTTATTTATTGTTTGGAAATGAAAGCCAGGCTCTTGAGTATGTTAGGCAAATGCTTCAAGAACTTTTAGAATCCCTGGAAGTGGTGTCTCAATCCTTTGAACCCAGTGACAGGATGATTCTTTAAACCCTGGAGGCAGAGACAGGCAGATCTCTGATTTGAGACCAGCCTGGTCTACAGAGCAAGTTCCAGGATAGCCCAGGCTACACAGAGAAACCGTGTCTTGAAAAACCACACATGCATGCACACATGTACACACACACACACACACACACACACACACACACACACACACACACGGAAAACACTGTTGTTAAAATCCTTAAATCTTTGTCTTTACATATTTTTATGTTGGTACACACACCTGCAACCCCAACACTGAAGAAAAACCTGAACACAACATGCAGTTGAAGACACTTACCTTGAGGAGGCCCCTTTGGACTGAGACCTGGTTATATTATTTCTTACCATTTTCAGACCAATCTCCTAAAGTAGGGATTATTTTCTCTATTGTCTTCTTGCCTTTTACTAGCTCCCCTTTCCTCTGGATTTTCTGGGTTTTTTTTTTATGCAGAAAGACATGACTACTTGATGTTTTACTTGGTATTATCCCATATTAGAAGGGATGATGACAAATTTTGTTAAATAAGGAAGGCCTCCAAAAAAACAGGAGGCAGAAAGTCCAGGGGCTGTTCATTATCTGAGGGGGAAAATGCATAAACAAGAGACAAGGGATGCCCCATTCCTGCTTAACTGTAGGTGGGAAGATGCAGGCTTCTCAATTTTGTCTTCAACATCTTTCAGCAAAATTTTAAATTAATTAAGAAATTGAAATCACTATGTAGCTGAGGTTGACATGAAACTTTTGATCTTCTTGCTCCTACCTGCCAAGTGCTGGGGTTGCTGGGATTCTAGGAATGGCACCATAACTCGGGGTTCATGTGGTTCTGGGGTTGAAACCCAGGACTTCATGCAGATCAGGCAAGCATTCTTTTTACCAGGTTACATCGGGAACCATGATGGTGTTTTGTTTGTTTATTTTTTTGCTTGCTTGCTTGCTTGCTAGTTTTTGGTCTTAAATTATATGTGTGTGAATCAAGTTTTTTAATTTAACTTCCTGAAAATATGTCACCTGCCGAATTCCTTGAAATATTCACCACTGCCAGTAATTTCAAATATAGACACAGTAGACAAACTGAGACAGATTTTTACAGCATGAAAATATCTTTTGATACTTCTGTATGCACTTATGAAACACATTATGGGGAATATTAAAATGGGGATTTGTTGGTTCAATGACAAACACAGGGTATTTTCCATACCTATCCTCTAGATGCCTTCCAGAATGGCTATTTACATTGTCCAAAAGTACCATTTTGCTCTCCAAAAGGTGTGTATGACCAATTTTCTAATTTTTTTCCAGTTGACAATTGTTAATGGCAACATAATCTAATCACTTTTATTTTAAAACAATACCAAGTGAGTTCCAGGAAAGGTGCAAAGCTACACAGGGAAACCCTGTCTCGAAAAACAAAACAAACAAAAAAAATACATTCATATAAGATTTCTCTTATTGTGATTTCATTATTCATATCTTCTTAATTTTTCTTCTCCATTGACTAAAATAATGCATGCTTCTCAAAATCTTTCAGTGTTATGAAATAATTCTGAAAATACCTGTCCAACACATAGGGGATTTCTTGAACCCCACCCCCACTTAGTCATCTAAAGACACTTTTTAATCAAGAGAAGTTCAGTTTTGATAAATCTCTTCGAACCTAAAGAAAGGAAACTTTATCACAAGGACTACATGTTAACACCAGACATGGTTATGTATAGTCTATTTAATACACTAGAGCACATACGTATTAACCCTGTGAAAAAAACTACTTCCTCTTTCTGATTTCATATTCCATGGTCTACAGTGAAAACATCCCAGAACCACCTAGATTACACTGGATTTTGGAGTAGGCATTTTCCTTTGTCGCGATGCTCCCAGACTGCTAATTTATGTGTTTTTCTCTGTTCATTCCTCTATAAGTGCATTTCATATGCTTAAATGATCAGACCCTGAGTCATGGGAAGTTTCCCATCCCTTACATTTAGCAGCTGGATATGCACAAGTAGTAGAATGGAGGAGAATGGAGAGTTTTGGAAATGATTAAAATACTTTGTATGATGGTCAAGTGAAAAAAAACAAAACAAAAAAAAGAACAAGAGAATGATGGAAATAGCTTGGCAGAAAGATGGGCAAAGCTTTTCCAGACAGCAGGTGAGTCCTTGGTCTCATTCACTCACTCTTACCTTGGGCCAAGTAAATGATGGATCTAAGTCTATCTAGGCTTTTTCCAATCGCCAAGACAAGAATGCTTTTCTCTGCACACACTACAGGATCTCATTGGCCTAATATCCTTGCATGTTCTCTTGAGCCAGTGACTAAGCATGTTCTCCATGTCCTCAGTCTCCATATTTCAGGGAACATAGGGATAAGTGGCCCATTATAAAGAGTAATTTGCATATATTATAATTTGAAAGAGAGTTTCTTTTTGTTTCCGAGATTTGTGGAGCTAAAACGAAGCCTGGCATAGAATCTCAAAATATGTACTCAGCCTGTCATGGGGAGCCATGCAGGGATCACCACTCAGACAGTTTACAGCCAACTGAAAGTCTTTATTCCTCAGCTATTCAGGACCGAAGTATAGTCCTGAGCATTTAGAGTGAAGGGCTTTTAACGGCAACCCCCACATCCTGGTGTCTCCCTGTGCAAATCTAGAGGGAGGTTTCTAGTCAGCGAGCGGTTTGACAGAGGCTAAGGTAGCGGGGGCGTCTGAATGGGATTCTACAGGAGATCAAGTTCTAGTTAAACCTGGAATGGCCTTAGGACAAATACGAAATGGAGGACGCTCTGCACTGTGCTGCCTTGTCACAGAAAACATAATTCTAAACCCCGAAAAAGAGCCAACGGCGCAGAACAACTCAGAAACACCCCGGCTCTGTACTCGAGAGGTTTCAAGAATACCAAAATCTTGAAGAAAAAAAAATGCCACTTAATTATTTGCATTTAAGCAAAGGTTAAGAAAGTCAGAAAAGCGTTTGGCTCTTAATCATAAGTACCAGAGTTCAACTTCCAGAACTCATTTTTTTTTTTAAGTAGTTTTAAGAAAAAACAAAACAAAACTTGAGTACACAGAAGTGAAAAACGCCGTATGCAAATGAGGGGTGGAATTCTGATTTTCTATTGGCTATCATATACTAACCAATGAGAGAAGCAGAAGTAGAATCCCTCCCGTTCGTATAAATATTTCTCATTCCCCACTTGAGCATTACTCGGACATTTTTTTCCTGTCTCTCCTTGTTACCTCTCAAATTCAAACATGTCTGGACGCGGCAAGCAGGGCGGCAAGGCTCGCGCCAAGGCCAAGACCCGCTCGTCCCGCGCCGGCCTGCAGTTCCCCGTGGGCCGCGTGCACCGGCTCCTCCGCAAGGGCAACTACTCGGAGCGGGTGGGCGCCGGCGCCCCGGTCTACCTGGCGGCCGTGCTGGAGTACCTGACGGCCGAGATCCTGGAGCTGGCCGGCAACGCGGCCCGCGACAACAAGAAGACGCGCATCATCCCGCGCCACCTGCAGCTGGCCATCCGCAACGACGAGGAGCTCAACAAGCTGCTGGGCCGCGTGACCATCGCGCAGGGCGGCGTCCTGCCCAACATCCAGGCGGTGCTGCTGCCCAAGAAGACCGAGAGCCACCACAAGGCCAAGGGAAAGTAAATGAGTTCCCGGTCTTTTCTTTGGATTTCCCTGGCTAAACCTACACAAAACAAAGGCTCTTTTCAGAGCCACCCACCTTTTCCCGTAAAACGAGCTGCCACCTCATTGTGAATTGTCTTGCTACTGTATTAGGTCGACTATGACCTGTACGGTGAAGGTATCTCAGCCTTATTAGTGCTGTTGCCCTTGGATGCAGTTCGTCATGTTCTAAAACGCAAATATTTGGAATTGAGTTTTTCCAAATGAGAACCCTTCCTGTATGTGAACTAAAACAACAGTACCTGAGTATTAAAACTATCTAGGTCTAGAGTGTAAAAGCACAACAGTACTAATGGTTACCCAGCGTTAAAGCACGATTCACAGTTTGCAGTGTTCCGCTTCGTTTTCACAGGAGTGGCCTCTGAGACCCCTATCGTGCATCCAAGATGGTATTTGGAAGTGAATAGCAGCAGTATTTGCCCTTTGTAACATTACCTCTTGTCAATCCCATGAAGTTTTAAGTTTCTATGCTCAATTGTATGATTACCTCAGTTGAATATTTTTAGCCTAACCCTATTGAATGTACATAGTCCTGTGCAAAATTTCTGTCCTCAGCAGTTATCGCGATGAAAGTGTAAAAGTAGAAGATGGTGGAGGGGAGGAGGCACCGAGGGGCGGAGGCACCGAGGGGCGGAGGCAGGAGGGGGCACGTTCATTCAACAACCTCAAAGCATATTTTAATCAGGATTTAGGAGCAGAGACTGACCAATCCGAGAAATGCGCGGGTCCATTTGAATGTTCTCCGGTCCAATAACGGATAGTGTGATTGTATATAAGATGGCAAGCGCCTTCCAAGGCACTGTAGTGTGTTCTGCTTTGTCTTTGTTGCACTAATGGCTCGTACCAAGCAGACGGCCCGCAAGTCCACCGGCGGCAAGGCCCCGCGCAAGCAGCTGGCCACCAAGGCCGCCCGCAAGAGCGCCCCGGCCACCGGCGGCGTGAAGAAGCCGCACCGCTACCGGCCCGGCACCGTGGCGCTGCGCGAGATCCGGCGCTACCAGAAGTCCACCGAGCTGCTGATCCGCAAGCTGCCGTTCCAGCGCCTGGTGCGCGAGATCGCGCAGGACTTCAAGACCGACCTGCGCTTCCAGAGCTCGGCCGTGATGGCGCTGCAGGAGGCCTGCGAGGCCTACCTGGTGGGTCTGTTCGAGGACACCAACCTGTGCGCCATCCACGCCAAGCGGGTCACCATCATGCCCAAGGACATCCAGCTGGCCCGCCGCATTCGCGGGGAGAGGGCTTAAAGGCTACTGAGTGCAACGCTGAACCCAAAGGCTCTTTTCAGAGCCACCCACATTTTCTGTACAAAGCAGCTGTGATTCAAAATTCACGGTTTGGGTGTTTTTATGTACAACATGTCACAGTGTAACACTTTTACCATCGTCATCCTGCCTGATGGGTTGCGTAGTTCTAGTTTAATTTCAGACGTTGCGTTCTACCCAAAGTTAGGTCCGTTTTAAGTCAAGACTATTAAGATTTGGCAAATAGCCGGCAAATACTGACGTCAATTTGTATAAACAATCATTTGAGTAGATTCTTCGTTACTCTTGTTTTCTGGTTCTGATCTGAAACATCTTTAGGTGTTCTGTTAGGTAGTTTTGTTTTTTTCAAACTTGCCCTTACCAAGTGCTTTTGTATTGCTGGTGATACCACTTGTATGTTCTAGAACATTATTACCAGGATATACTGTGCAGTGTTTAATGGTTTGCTCTTAATTGAAATTTTAAAACTTTGGACATTTTTTTCCATTTTAAAAAGTAAGGGCTACAGATCAGGTGCTGCAAAGTAGGCCATTGGGCATACATTTATATTATGCTGGAATATTTAAAGTAATGGTTGGAAATTTTTGTTTTCTCTAGGTTTTGCAATATATTTCTGAAACCGTTGAACTACAGAAGCTGTTCATACTCCGGACCTTGGTTCCTGTTCCTTTTCCACCAGTTTCATATACCTAATATTCTGCCCAGGTTTGGTATGCGAATGACCAGTTGGAAAAGTTGCCAAGATGTAACTGGAATGGGTGATTTGCTTGGATACATTTTCCAGGGCTTTAAATAAATAAAACCCCTCGGGTGGTGGTGGCGCACACCTTTAATCCCAGCACTCAGGAGGCAGAGCAGGCGGATCTTTGTGAGTTCAAGGCCAGCCTGGTTTACAGAGCAAGATCCAGGAAAGGTGCAAAGCTACACGGAGAAACCCTGTCTCAAAAAACCAAAAATAAATAAATAAAACCCCATTGGTTTACACAATAATATTTTATCTTAAATTATGAAAACCAGCATTGCCAGGCCTGAGTGGCTCAGGCATGTACTCCCTGATACTCCACAGGCTGAGGTGGCAGGATCGATCACTAGTTTGAAGTTTGCTCGGGTTACAGGAAGAGTTCAAAGATAGCCTTGGTAATTTCATAGGACCCTGTCTCAAAATCAGAAGGGGCTGGGGTAGAGGTATAAGGAGACAGCACCGGCTTAGCCAGTGAAGCCCTAGATTCAAGCCCCAGTAAACAAACAGAAGGAAGAGGGAAAGTAAAAGTGTATTTCCAAGTTGTCTAGAGACTGCTAAAGACCGCTCTCCCTTGCTACTGCTTGGCATCCACAGGTATCTCGAGGTGATGGGGTCTCTTGAAGGCCCAGCATTTCAATATTTGGGTTTTAGCTGTGCTGGCTTTGATGTCCTCTGCTTGGCTTTATATATATATTTTCTGCATCTGTAAGAAACTAGTGTTTTCAGTGCAGTGCTGACAGGCAGTACTTCCCATTTTTCTGTAATAAGATGGACAGTCTTCAATTAGTCTGGCTCTTCTCGCCAGCTCCACAGTCCCTACCAAAGCCAAGGGTGAAAAATGGATTCTGGATTCAGTCTTCATTTCCTTGAGGCTCTAATAGAATTTCACAATGTCAAATAAATAAGTAAATAAAAAGTTCCTTTAAAGAGCCCACAGCAGAGACCTAGCAGCATGAAGTAGTCATGTGTGTGGGACGCTTGCTAAGGCTCAGTCTCCCCTGGGTGCCTTCTGTGTCCTCTGGAAGGAATCACTTTCTCCACACGAAAATGGGATCCACACCATCTGTCTTCCAGGATTGTGACTGGGGTATATTTGAATGCCTGCTTTTAATTTTTCTAAACCGTACATTATTTTTCTTTCTAGTTTAAGTTTTTAAATAGCCCACACTAGCTTCTTAAATTACTTTTTACTTGGCATCACTTAATTGCAGAGTCTGCTCAGTTTATAAATAAAATATTACCATATACTTAGAAATCAACAATGGAAAAATTCAAGGTCTTTTAGGTTTGTTTTGTTTGTTTTAGCAATGTCGTGATATTTTATTTGTGCTCTAACAAATATAACCTACCTAGGGATCAGAGGATAGAGCCAGCCTCTAGAGTAGACAGAGAGGCCAGACAGTGGTAGCGCACACACCTTTAATCCTATCACTTGGGAGGCAGAAATCTGTGTGGATCTCTGAGTTCAAGGCCACACTGGGAACAGAACCAGGCGTGGTGGTAATACATGCCTTTAATCCCAACACTTGAGATCTCAGGTCTTTGCTTGGGAAGGACACAGGCCTTTAATCCCAGGAAGTGATGACAGGAAGCAGAAAGGTATATAAAGTGTGAGGACCAGGAACTAGAGGCTTTTAAGCAGTTCAGCGGATACCCTCAGGGCTGAGAACTCAGAGGCTTCAGTATGAGGAAACAGGAACTCACGTTCCTGAGGCAGAGAAATTGGAGAGGCGAGGTTAGCTGTGGCATGTTCTGCTTCTCTGATCTTTTAGTATTCACCCCAATATCTGGCTCCGAGTTTTTTGTTAATAAGACCATTTAGCAATCCGTGTTACAAGCAAGGAGAAGTATTGCCTCTTATCTCCCGACTCTCTCCCTAAAACAGGAGAAAAGATGTGTTCTTCGGCAGAAGGCTACAATTGAGATCATTGTGTACCAAACTATCAGGCACTAAAGGCCAAGGGCATTTCTATTTTGGTAAAACAATGTTTAGCTTTCTTTAGCATTCACATATAACTTACTCTCCTACGATTGCCTCTCTGTACTCCACTTGGAATAAAAACACTTCAGTTTTTATCGTTTCTTTTGGTCTTCATTTGTGTATGGTGGCTTGTTGCCTTGTCCCCTAAGGAATAGAAAAAATATTTTTGCCAAATTCATTCCCAGGTCCAGATGGAGGTCCTGACAATAGAATCTTGCCTTTCTCTGCATATAGTTGAACAGATAGCATGCGTTAGATGCATTAGACTCTGGTTTTTCCATGATCTTCAGTAACCAACTGTCCTCCAGGTACCACAGTGATATCAGACACAGGATGAAATGTACAGCTAGTGCTCTTGGGTTGTTTGAAGGAGATTTGAAGGCTCTTAAAGAACAGGAAGAATTCAAGTTCAGGGCCCACTCTTTAGGTTTAAAAGTTTAACAGTAAAGTCATATACAGTGGCATGAGCCTGTAACCAAGCTCTGGGAGGCTGAGACCACAGGATTGTAAATTCCATCCATGGTTACATGGTGAGACTCTGGAAACAAGGGGGAAGAGGAGGAGCAGGAGGAAGAAATAGAAAAGGAAAGAGAGACTAGAAAGACAGAAACTGGGCCCTCCCCCACTCAATCACTAACTAAGAAAATGTCCTACAGGCCTACCTACAGCCCGACCTTCTGGAGGCATTTCCTCGAACTGAGGCTTCCTCCTCTATGATGACTCTAACAGAGGGCCTTCCAGTCTCGATCAGAAGAACTTCCTGAGTTAAAGAGGTGTCTGAGCAAAATTAAGTATGTAGAAAAAAGTAAAGGGAAATTCATAAACTTATACCACATTGCATCTTGGCTGGGAAAAGCTGGGGTATGATTGCCAATACACCTTGAGGGAAATGACAAAAATAATTTCCCAAACAATAATTTTTAAAACTTCATACATGAAATACAAAACAGGATCTGTCATCTTATTTTTCACATGCAGTGATTAAAAAAAAATCCTAGTACACATGACAGTAATAGTGTGTTGGCAGTGATAGCCTGATATGAAAATACTTCTAATAAGAGTATTAAAATAGTGCTTTAGTTAGAATTACTATTGCTGTAATAAAACACCATTACCAAAAACAACAAAATGGAAAGGGTTTGTTACTTCAGTTTACACTTTTACATCACTGGTCATCATTGAAAGTCAGGACAGGAACTCACTCAGGGCAGGAACCTGGAGACAGGGGCTGCTTCCTGCTTCCCATGCCTTACTCAGCCTGCTTTCTTATAGAACCCACGACCACCAGTCCAGGGCTGATACCACTCATGATGAGCTGGGCCCTTTCCCGCTAAATGCCCTACAGGCTTGCCTACAGCCAGATATTTTTCTTTTTCTTTTCTTTTCTTTCTTTCTTTTTTTTTTTTTTTTGGTTTTTCGAGACAGGGTTTCTCTGTGTAGCTTTGCGCCTTTCCTGGAACTCACTCTCTAGCCCAGGTGGGGCTCGAACTCACAGAGATCCACCTGCCTCTGCCTCCCTAGTGCTGGGATTAAAGGCGTGTGCCACCACCGCCCGGCACAGCCCGATTTTATGGAGGCATTTTCTCAACTGAGGCTTCCTCCTCTATGATGACTCTAGCTTGTGTCAAGTTGGCACAAAACTAGCCAGCACAAATATTAACAAGCAAATATATTTATGTAGTACTTCTTTGCAACAATCTCTACTTAATGTAAATTCCAATCCAATTCTCACAAACTACTCGTAGCATTATCAGATGAGTTTTATAGGTGAAAAGGGAGAATGGGAAAACTACCAGTTCACATGTCTATTAATTAATCCCTTTGAATGAGAACATACACTATATAGGTGTGGCAAAATCCCACCTCCATCCTCTTGGAGCACTAGTTAGAACTGCAAATTAAATTAAGAGAAGCACCAAACATTTAACAGCTTTACTGCTCTAATTAAAAAAAAAAAAAAAAGTAGCCAGGCAGTGGTGGAGCATGCCTTTAATCCCAGCACTTGGGAGGCAGAGGAAGGCAGATTGAAGCCAGCCTGGTCTAAAAGCGAGTTCGAGGACAATCGAGGCTACACAGAGAAACTCTGTCTACAAAAACAAAAACGTAACCCAAAGCAGCAGTGAATCGATTACATACAGAATTGGGCAAAGAATAGCCAGTGCAATGATTTGACAAAGCAACGGGGCTTGAGCTATGTGGACATTTTATTTTAACAAGTTTTTCTTGAACCGATTCTCTCTGCCTCAGTTCCTCCTAGTAATAAAAATGTTTTATTTTGTTCTTTTAGTATCTTTCACATCAGAACTACTAGGAAAAAATAATTTCCTTTTGGTACCACTTTTTTTTTTTTTTTTTTTTTTTTTTTGGTTTTTCGAGACAGGGTTTCTCTGTGTAGCTTTGCGCCTTTCCTGGAACTCACTTGGTAGTCCAGGCTGGCCTCGAACTCACAGAGATCCGCTTGGCTCTGCCTCCCGAGTGCTGGGATTAAAGGCGTGCGCCACCACCGCCCGGCCGGTACCACTTTTTTTTTTTATGCTTTAAACGCACATAATTTAGAGGTTTGTGTTTTAACTCCTTCAAGTATTGGGCCATAGAGATGTAATGACTTGTTAGGACAATATACAGCAATATAACTTACATTAAAATAGCAGTACAGTCCAAGCTGCAGGAAACCTGGGGGAGTGCAGAAAAGCAGTATTTCTGTGTTCAGCTCCTTGGTCTCCGCCCTACCGCGAGCGGAGCAAAAGATGCCTTGGCAGCCTTTTAGTCCCCGCCCACTTGAGGTTCTCAACCAGGTCCGAGAGGATCCTATAATAAGCCACCGGCCGTTTCACAGGTCTGCTTGTTTTACGGCTAGTCTCTAAGCTTAGTCATGTCTGGTCGCGGCAAAGGCGGGAAGGGCCTGGGCAAGGGCGGCGCCAAGCGCCACCGCAAGGTCCTGCGCGACAACATCCAGGGCATCACCAAGCCCGCCATCCGCCGCCTGGCCCGGCGTGGCGGCGTCAAGCGCATCTCCGGCCTCATCTACGAGGAGACCCGCGGGGTGCTGAAGGTGTTCCTGGAGAACGTGATCCGCGACGCCGTCACCTACACGGAGCACGCCAAGCGCAAGACCGTCACCGCCATGGACGTGGTCTACGCGCTCAAGCGCCAGGGCCGCACGCTCTACGGCTTCGGTGGTTAAGCCATTGTTGCATTTTCCTCCAGTGTCGTAAAAGGCCCTTTTCAGGGCCACCCACTTGTTCCTCAAAAAGCTGTACCTTGCTACGCTGTGTGTCTCGCGGTCGTTCTAAACCGAAACTAGGCCACCTGGTGTTGGACTTCGCGTTGTCCTCAGCGCTTGTGTTACTTTTAGTTGTGGTCGATGGGGTGGACATTTAATTCCCGGACTTGACTCTTAGTAGTCTCTCAGGCTGGGGACAGTTAGGCAGTCTGCTTCAACATTCCGAATTTCACCCAGGCTGGAAATCTGGATGCTTTTCAATGAGTCCAAGATCATGGGGAGGCCTAACCTTGAAGCAGCTCTAAGGGAACCTTAGCAGGGGAGCACTTAGTCGCCTAAACAGCCACAGCGATACCCTTTTTATTAAAGAGATTTCTAGAGTTGAAATTCAGTTATGGGAAGTAAGCCAGGGTTGGCATACTCTGGAAGACTGTTTTCATGGTCAGGGTGGGTTCAAGGTCAGGTTGGACCATCTTAAAAAGCCTGGAATATTGGGGATAGATAGATGTTAAAGCCCTTGCCTCTCGGGCACCACCAGGGCCTAGTTTCAATCACCTTGAACCTTATGGAGGTGCCCAAACTGAAAAATAATCCAGATGAGAATCCTTCATACTAAGGAGATTCAACTGGTGGGAAAAAACACTTAAACAGGCCCGTGTTCTACAGAGCAAGCTCCAGGACAGCCAGGGCTACACAGAGAAACCCTGTCTCGAAATAAAACCAAAAAAGAAAAAGAATCAGGTTCATCTGATCCTGGAGGTGTTGAACAGAATTGAATAAGAAAGAATGAAGTTTGTTGAGAGATCTGAGCTGCAGAGAAAAGTCTTTTGTTTTGTTTTTTTGTGAGTTGCAGAAAAATCAGTGGATTCGACCACCAGAAGATGGACAGAAAATACTGGTACGAATAGTACTGACATGTATGTGTATGGTATGTATGTGGTGTTTTTCTTGACCACCCCTCCCAAGCAGTGCATTAAAACAAATATTGACATAAAATCTATGTTGTATTAATTATTATGGGTAATGCAGAGATAATAGAAAATATAATGGTGAATGTATGTATATAGGTGTTTGTATATGCCACTATGTACAGGGCTTCAACATCTTCATATAGTATTTGAACACCCCCCTCCCCCCATGAGTTTTGACAGTAGGCTAAATAGCAAAACTAAATGAGATTAATAACATAAAACACAATGTAGTGCAACATTACCTGTAAAGTGAACAGGTGGAGACAGGGCAGTTTCGGCACAAGAAACCACCTATGATCTCTATCTGTTGGGAAGTTTTACGACATACTGACCAACAACACTTGTCATCCCAGTACTCCAGAAATGGATGGAGAAGGATCTCAGATTTGAGGCCAGCCTGTGCTCTGTGGTACATGGAGTGATTCAGAAACGAGAGATTGTGGTGTATGTATTGTATACTATCTCTCAGTTCTTAGAACTTTTCTTCATTCCTGAAACTGCATCTTGTCAACTAATGTGTTCTGTAAAATACTTTATGTTCAATAGAACTCCACGTCCTGGCTGGGAAAGCCAGGTTCATCTTGTAGCAGTACCAAAATTTATAATAGTGGCAGCTTCTAGCCATTTCTCAACATTCCAGCAGGATTATAATTTTTAAAGATATTAAATCTACTCTTTGCTCAGAATATTCTGCTGAATTACCAAACTAGTCACAATAAATAGCACTGCATTAAAAACACAGTTCTCATTTCAAATAGAGCATGAGCGTTTACTTGGGAGCCAAATATGAGTGACCATGGCCCAGGAACATAGGCTCAGGTTACCCACAAATCTACGTTCCAGTGTGAAAGCAATTCCATAAAATTTTTATAGTAACAAAGAAAAGCATTAATTAAGGCATCTTTCAAATGTATTAGTGGAAACATTAAATAGGCAGGTACAACCAGGGAGAGAAATCTCAGCTATTGGTCTCAGGTGCCGTCTGATAACACACCCTTTTGGTTGGTAGAAACGAGACTTTGTTAATACATTTCCAGAGGTTTTTAACTTGTTAGTCACAGGACTAGGTCTGACACAGAGGTCAGCAAGCAATAACTATTTGGGGGCTAATGATTGCCCCAAATGAACTGTAATTGGGTTCTGAATACAAAATATTCCACTCTCTCCACGTCGCTGAAGGTCCAATCGCTTAGTTAGCCTTGAAGACCCAGTTTCTTTCCAGGAGTTGTCATTCACGGCGTCCTTAATTCAAATACCTACCTTATGAAAGAGACCTCTACTTGTCAAATAAAATCCCCATTTGGACACTCTTAAATGTTTCATCTGTAACAATATTTTTATTGTGTGTATGTATTTCCCCCTTCACCAGGATATAATACCTTGAAAGTGAGAATGTCATTGTGTCCTCATGTCTCTGGCATCTAGAACAACCCTGGTATCGCATAGGTCGTTTATAGAGTGTTATTTATGTTTTCTTTTGTCTTTTATTTTAATGTCATTCTTATTTCCTTGTATGGATTTTTTGCATGCATTTATGTCTGTGCACCACTTTCATGCCGGGTGCCCGGAGACAAGAAGAGGGAATTGGATCTGGAATTCCTGGGACTGCAGTTACAGGGGATTGGGAGACACTATGTGGGTGTTGGGATTTGAATGTAGGTTCCCTGCAAGAGCAGCCAGTGCTCTTAACCAGTGGTTCATCTCTCCCGTTTTTTGTCTTTTAAAAATTACATTTAAAATATTTTATTTTATAATCATGTATGTATGTATGTACGTGTGTGTGTGTGTGTGTGTGTGTGTGTGTGTGTCAGAGAATAATTTAGGAGAACTGGGTCTACCATGTAGGTCCAGGAGTTTGAATTCAGGTCTTCAGGCTTGGCAGCGACTTTACCCAAGGAATCATGTCACTGGATTCTTTCCTCTTGATATAAAGATCAGGCTAGCCTGGAACCTGTAGCTCAGTCTCATCTTAAATTCATGATCTTTATGTATATCTTTAACGTGAACAACACATCATGGACCCTTGCACAAGCCGCAGGCCTCCATTAAGCCCCAGTATGGTACTGCCACAATCGATTCCTCAATGAGCATGACTTTCCTGTCTATCTTGAGAGTTAATGCAGACTTGCCAATCTAGGATATTATGAACTGACTGGATAAGAGAGAGGTTTCTATCCACAGTAGAGGTGGATACCACCAGGGAAAATATAGGCCTATTAGGAATGCTTTGAAAAAAAGGTTAGGCCTACTGAAAGGATTGTGTACCCGATATTAAACCTCTCCGCGGACGCATTAATCCAAATCAAACCGAATTAAGAATTAATCCAGGTTTAATGAGTACAACGCTCCCGGGTGATTTTTCGGCCCACTGAAAGGTCTTTGGGGGAGGAGCCGCCGTTTGGCGCCTTTTCTGAGCCAGGGCGGGGTTTGGAAAGAGCGAGAGATGGGAGAGGAGGGGACTGCCTTAGAGCTTCCACCTGAACACCTGCCCTAAAGGCCTTTGTGGTTACTGATTTCGCCAATCTGCATCTACAGACTCTAAACTTACTGCTCATAAGGAGAGCTCGAAGTGCTGTCTGCTGGCACATTATAGAATATTAATCAAATAGTACTGGAGGAATTTAAATACAATATCAAATAGCTCCTGAAGGAACTCAAATACGGAATAAAATGATCAATTACCCTCAAGACACATTTTTGTTCCTTTGTCTGGTCTATTGCTGAAATCTTCCAGGATGTACTTATGAATTCTCATTAGCTTAAAATGAAGCTATGCTGAATACTTCATCATTCTCCATAAGAAATCTACGGTTGGGTAACAGGAATACCAAATCAGGGAGACATTCAGACATAGCTAACTGATAGGCTGAGGTTCAAATCTGTCCCTTATAAAAGTGATGCGTAAAATACAAACAACCAAAAGAAAAAAAACATATATATAAACAGCAAAACCACGAAAAAGTGGGGTCAAGCTGGGTATGGTGATTAACAGTAACCCCAGCACTTGGGAGCTGAAGGATCAAGCTGTCTAGGTCAGCCCAGGAAGAGAAAGACAGATTAGCAGTCATCAACTGAGTTCGTATCCACTTCAGCTGGGTCCTGAAACGTAACACGGCTTGAATCCAAAATTGTAGCAAATGCTCCCCCAAGCTGCCTACATTAATGCACAAAAAAATCACAAAATCAAAGCACGCACCTGACGTTACCAAATTCACCTACAAGTTTAGGGTGTAAAGGGGGCCCTGAAATGGGACCCATGATAACAATACACCAATAAATAGTTCTCCCACGCCCGGACTCACCCGAGTTTTCCCAGTTCAATTAAAATCAACGAACCAAGTTAGAAGTTGCTTGGCTGTCCAAGAAACTGGCGGAATCTAATACTTCAGAGGTCTCAACTATTCAGTTCACTGAATCCACAAAGAGGAATAAAGCAAAGTGCAATTACGCTCAAGTTGTGATTTATTCCTCATTTCTCTCAGCCTTTGTTCTCCGGGATGCGGTACAAAGCAAACTGCATGGAACAGTATTACAACGCCCCTTTCAGAGCAGATGGGCGGCCCTGAGAAGGGCCTTTGGTTATTAGAAGAGACGAAGGATGAAAGCCTTAGCCGCCGAAGCCGTAGAGCGTGCGGCCCTGGCGCTTGAGCGCGTAGACCACGTCCATGGCGGTGACGGTCTTGCGCTTGGCGTGCTCCGTGTAGGTGACGGCGTCGCGGATCACGTTCTCCAGGAACACCTTCAGCACCCCGCGGGTCTCCTCGTAGATGAGGCCGGAGATGCGCTTGACGCCGCCACGCCGGGCCAGGCGGCGGATGGCGGGCTTGGTGATGCCCTGGATGTTGTCGCGCAGGACCTTGCGGTGGCGCTTGGCGCCGCCCTTGCCCAGGCCCTTCCCGCCTTTGCCGCGACCAGACATGGCTAGAGAAATTAAGAAACCCGAAAGGAAAGTGAGTGAGACCTGAGAACGGGTCCTTATATAGCTGCTTCGCCTTAGTCCCCACCCCAACAGAAAGCGAGAGCCGCCAGCCCGCCGGCGGGAAAGTGACGTCACAGACCCCGCCTTTAAGGCTTACCCAAGAGCCGAAAGCCCGCGCGCGGGAAAGTGACGTCAAGACCCCGCCTTTAAGGCTGGCCCGACGGAGCCGACATCCCGCCGGCGGGAAAGTGACGTCACAGACCCCGCCTTTAAGGCTTAACCAAGAGCCGAAAGCCCACGCGCGGGAAACTGACGTCAAGACCCCGCCTTTAAGGCTGGCCCGACAGAGCCCAAAGCCCGCCGGCGGGAAAGTGACGTCACAGACCCCGCCCTTGAGCTTTGCCTCGGCTTCGAGTGGTTTCAGAATGTCAATACAAAACCTATTTTAAATATTCCAAAGGAATCTTTGCCTTACAAATTTATCAGAACTCAAAAGGCCTAGTTGGTACACATACTACGATAACTAAATAGAATTATTCCAACTCTCCAATGCTGCGGCTATGAGAATGGAGGAAAATGGTTTCGTAGGTTTGACTGGGAAAGCTGTACTTGGCAGTTTCACACTTAACACCGGTTCTGTGCATCCGGGCTTCTCGTTGGGGAAAATTGTGTTCAGTTGGGAAATTGGACCTAGTCCTATTCACAGCCATTTTACTTGAAATTGTGGGTGGCTCTGAAAAGAGCCTTTGGTTATTCTATAACGTGGCAATTTACGCCCTCTCCCCGCGGATGCGGCGGGCCAGCTGGATGTCCTTGGGCATGATGGTGACCCGCTTGGCGTGGATGGCGCACAGGTTGGTGTCCTCGAACAGACCCACCAGGTAGGCCTCGCAGGCCTCCTGCAGCGCCATCACGGCCGAGCTCTGGAAGCGCAGGTCGGTCTTGAAGTCCTGCGCGATCTCGCGCACCAGGCGCTGGAACGGCAGCTTGCGGATCAGCAGCTCGGTGGACTTCTGGTAGCGCCGGATCTCGCGCAGCGCCACGGTGCCGGGCCGGTAGCGGTGCGGCTTCTTCACGCCGCCGGTGGCCGGGGCGCTCTTGCGGGCAGCCTTGGTGGCCAGCTGCTTGCGCGGGGCTTTGCCGCCGGTGGACTTGCGGGCAGTCTGCTTGGTGCGAGCCATTGCAACCGAGAAGCAAGAGAGACTGGAAGTCTGGAACGTGGCAACCGTGCGCTCACAACTACTATTTATAGTATACAAAGCATAGTGATTGGACGGAAATACTGTGCACCTGTGACGTTTAGGACTCTGATTGGCTTATATTTAAGAACTGCAATTGCAGAGTTTCCCTAAGGTAGTCTGTGGCTGCCCTTTTCTTGTATGTGTCTTTTAAGAAAAATGAAAGAAAATTGCGGTGACTGTCAACTTCTCCAGCACCTCTGTCGGCCAACACATGGCAGCTTGGCCTTGTCGCGATTGAAGAGCCTAAAAATAAACTCGATATCCAGAATACTCAAATGTTTAATGAGAATTTTCTGCGTTGTGTGATGGAAGGCCAGAGTCTACCATTTGATTGGTTTACTGCGTTTTCCTTAATAGCCACTAAAAAAGCAGATCTTGAATCCTTCATTTGCGTGGGGTTTCTCCATTTCTTCAAAAGCTACCATATAAACTGAGATCAACATGGGAATAAGGTAGCAGAGAATTCTGACTCGGGTTATTCTGTGTATTTCTTCATTAAATAGCTGGATTTGTCTAGATCCTTTGAGTCCTTGCATTCAAACCTAAATATTTTCAAGCATTCTTAGCCAGAAATCACTCAATGCAGTTGGAAATTATTTTTTAATAAAACGATAATAAAATTGGCCATAGCAGATTAAGGTTATATTACTTTCTAATTTGTTTAAAAAAAAACTGAACAAGTGTTTTTCAAAGCTATTTTGGACTTGAATGTGCCAGGATGAGAAGTCATGCCGTGGCTTTTGCTCTCGCGCAATAATAGGTGCTTTCTCAGAATTGTAGAAAACAGTTCAACCACATTTTAGTAGCACTATTGGTTCTAAATGTGAGATCACTATAGCAACCTGATGCTTGTTAAAGCCCTAAAACAATTCCTTACGTAACATATAAAAAGTAGCCACATAGCTCTTCAGTACAGAAGCTCGTAAATAAGGTCTACAGCACGGTTTTCTGATAGCCTACCATGGAATTATTCCCTGAGCTGTAGAAGCGATCTCTGATACCTCAACAAGCTGCTTGAATTTTGACTGGCTAATTTACAGACACCCTTCAGCACTTGAGCTACTTTCTGATAGACATCTACCGTTTTGTCGGGTCCCTGCTGTGCTTGAAATTCCCTCCTCAAGCACCCAGCCAGAAAGGTTTGGGGGGGCGCCACTAGACTAGTTAAACCCAGAGATCTAGCAGGCGCTTCGGGGCCCGAGGGGGCGGGGCTTCTAGGGCTCAAGGGGCGGGAGTTAGCGTGCACCAATCACAGCGCGGCCCTGCTCTATAAATACGCCGCGCGGGGGCCTTGTCTTCCTACTTCTTTTCTTCGTCTTGGCAATAGCTGTCCCACCCTCTGCAGCTACGATGTCGGAGACGCCGCCCGTCGCTCAAGCTGCTTCTGCTGCGCCTGAGAAGCCCGCGGCTGCAAAAAAGACTAAGAAGCCCGCGAAGGCTGCGGCCCCGAGAAAGAAGCCCGCAGGGCCCTCGGTGTCCGAGCTCATCGTGCAGGCGGTCTCCACCTCCAAGGAGCGCAGCGGCGTGTCCCTGGCCGCGCTCAAGAAGGCGCTGGCGGCCGCCGGCTACGATGTGGAGAAGAACAACAGCCGTATCAAGCTGGGGCTCAAGAGCCTGGTGAGCAAGGGCACCCTGGTGCAGACCAAGGGCACCGGCGCTGCTGGCTCCTTCAAGCTCAACAAGAAGGCGGAGGCCAAGGCCACTACCGCCAAGGTGTCTGTGAAGGCGAAGGCATCGGGGGCGTCTAAGAAACCCAAGAAGACCGCCGGGGCCGCAGCCAAGAAGACTGTGAAGACCCCGAAGAAGCCCAAGAAGCCTGCCGTCTCAAAGAAGCCTTCCAAAAGCCCCAAGAAACCGAAGGTGGTGAAGGCCAAGAAGGTGGCCAAGAGCCCCGCCAAGGCAAAGGCGGTGAAGCCCAAGGCTGCCAAGGCTAAGGTGACAAAGCCCAAGACCGCGGCTAAGCCCAAGAAGGCGGCGCCCAAGAAAAAGTAAACAGTTCGGTTGGAGGCTTCTTCAGTAACCCAACGGCTCTTTTCAGAGCCACCTACATAGCTCGGGAGAGCTTAGCACGCCTTTCACTTGTACCTGGTACAAGTTAAAGTTCCTAGATAACACAGTATACCTGGCTGCCCTCAGCAGCTGGAGGCTTTGAGTGACAGCCTGTTATGGTTGGGGTCCGTGACTGCAAAGCTAGCTAACATTCCCAAGTTCGTTCGAAAGTAACACCTGGGTAGAGTTAAGATGAGACAGTAACCCAGGGAGGAACCCCGCCCTCCCCAGGTGCGGTCGATCGGTTATCTTTACGTGGCTAGAGGCCACCTGGGTAAGTGTCCTGGGCTGCCCACATGACGCTGAGAATGAGGTCCTTTCGCAATGCTCAAAGTACATGACAGGGTCCGTGGCACAGAGGGCATGTGGCATGGTCAGGACAAAGTTTAAGAGCAGTGGGTTTTTTCCAAGCATAAAAGGCTGGGTTCCTTATCAGAATGCTGGATGCTTGGAAGTTCGGTTTTGTGAGAGAGTTCCTGGTACTTCTGCTCTTAGAACACAGTTGGTCCATCTCCCACACGCTGGAAATAATGTCACAGGCAGCTCTTATTTAGCCTTTGACTTTGCTACCCACTTGTGCTCTTGAACTGATTCTCCTGCCTCCCAAGTACCAGGGTTACTCCCAACCCCTACCCACCAGTCTTGCTGGGCTCCCCTATTTAATCCTTTGAATTCAGTTTTTTTTTTTTTTTTTTTTTTTTTTTTTTTTTTTTTTTTAAGAATTATTGGTGTGGGTGTACCCTTGTGTCTGGAGGTTGGGAACAACTTGAAATTGGTTCTCTTCTACAGCTTGGGTCCAGGGGGTTATCTCTATCAGGCTTGGTGGCAAGTGCCTTTTACTCTCCGAGCCATCTTTCTGGCTCTAAACTTAGTTTTTTTGGTTTGTTTTTGTTTTTTCTTTTTCTTTTTTTTTTTTAATACATTTGGCCATAAACAGTAATTAGGGTTATTTTACTGAAATGTGATATATGCACGTTTAGACATCTTTTTCAACAAAACTTTAGAAAACAAATTAGTCAAGGCACAGGCCCTTTATCTCAAGCACAGGAGAAGCTGAAGCTGAAGCTAGGATCCTGAATTCAGGCCAGCCTAGGCTACACAGCCAGAGGCTGTCTTAAATTCAGGGAGGATTTGATTGAGTTTTGTTTGTTTTGTTTTTAACCAAAAAAGTATTTCCCATGAAGTATTCTGATCTATCCATTTGTTAATCTGTTGGTAAGCACTAAATTGAACATGATACAACAAATAGGACTCCATGCATACTGTTAATTATAAAGTATATTTTACAGTTTTAGTAAATGACTTCTAAGAATAGCTCAACTTCCAGAAGCGAGCTCGTTTCGGCTTCCCTCCTCCGTGGGGGCTCATTCATTTCTGCAGAGTCGAAAGGATGCAAAATATCTTGACCACTAGCATCTACTTTGTTTATTGGCTACCTTAATATTGCTTCTGGGAATTGCTTGCTAGTATTTCTTGCTCATTTTTTCAGAGTGGTCTGTCTTCTTGTTCCATCACGGGTTTGTATGTTTATTTTTATGTGTTAGTGTTTTCCCCACATGTATGTACACTGTACATGCCCTGGAGGTGGAGTTACAGATGATTGTGAGCCACCATGTGGGTGTGGGGAACAAATCACCAAGGGTTTGTTCTCAACAAGAACAAGTGTTCTTAACCACTGAGCCATCTCTCCGCTTGCCTCTATTATATTTTTTTATAATTTTTAGCAGAAAAAGAAACTTTAGGGTTTTTTTTCATCAGCATTGCAGTATTCTAACTTTGATCTTTTCTTCTCTTTATTTTTTGTGTGGCATACTTTTTTTATTTTCATGTGTGATGCATATTAAATTTAATGTTTTAAATATTATATGTGAATGTTTTAATGTGTTAAATATGCATATGTCTTTAATGGCTTCTGAGTTTCAAGTTTTGGTTAAGAAATTACACCCCAGTGACTGAATTATTTGTGTAGTATCTTAGATTTTAAGAATGTTGCTTTTTAAAACATTTTTAGGTTCAGCTGGGTCAATCTAGTGTACACGTCTACTTGAGAGGCTGAGGCAAGATGACGCCAAATTCATGTACTGCCTGGGCTACAGAGTGAGGTTTTTGATACCATCATGTGCAAATTAGTAAGACCCTACCTCGGACTAGAAAGTTGAAAGGAGGGAGGGCTGAAAAAAAAAAAAGGCTTAGCATGTAGCCCAATGGTAGAACATTTGCCTAACATGTGTGAGACCCTGGGTTTAGTTGCCAGTACTGCCAAAAGAAAAGAAAAATCAGTTTTTAATCCATAAATAATATATTTAATGTTGTTTTAGTTAGCTGTTCCAAAAACATTCATAAATAATTCATTCACTTCCTTCACTAGGCTAACATAAACTCTTTTATTTCTAAGCTTCTTACATAATAGGATCTAGAGTCTATTTTTGCATCTACTATTCTCTCCGAGGTACCTTTTAAATTCTTTATTCCTATTTATAGGCTTATTTCTACTGTGACTAGAACATTTCTCATGGCCTTTTGTTGCCTCTTACCGGTAACAGGTAAAAAGCATATTGAATTCTTGTATCCAGCTAATTTGCCAATTTGTGAAATTCTACTTTATATTACTCTTTTAAAAATACTGTGTGGAGTTTTTCATAGTCGACAGCAAAATAAATAAATCCACTTTTTTTTTAATTCCTCAATATGAATCACATGCATTTTTGTGCTGCTTTTGCTACAGAACTCAATTGGTTTTAGCAGGCATTTTAACTCCTGGTTTGAATTTGTATTGTATTGGATGTTTGTTAGCATATTTCTTACTAATTTTTTAGTATATGTATTTTAAGTAGTTCCTGTTCATTCTCTTTTGATTTAAATTGTTTGGATAGCTGATAGATCTTCTTTATATAGTGATATGATTTAAATTTGTTTAGTACTTCCTTAAATGTGAGGCCCACAGATATGGTAGGACTGGAAGACTCGGGAGTAGAAGAAGGAAACTTGTTTTTCTGAGATGGATGTTTCTGAGAGAAGCAGAGTGGAGTGATGGAGTTGAGAGAGGGCAAGTCACGATACTGTGAGTCTGCAGCCTGGGAAATTAGCAAGTAGAATGCGGACTCACCAGCTGACTCAAATGCTGCTGATAGACCAACGTGAGTCAGAGTTCCTTAGTTCTGCTGTGCGGAATCATTTCATGGCCTTGATAACAGCTTGTGGGAGGGTGAAGTTATAAATTCGAATCTTTAATATATGTGTGTGTTTAAAGCTTGGAGATTGGGTCAGGCCACCAAGGTAGTGACTGAGATAGTATATGAGAGAGAGAGAGAGAGAGAGAGAGAGAGAGAGAGAGAGAGAGAGAGAGAGAGAGAGAGATCTCATTCCTGTTCTTCCAGTGTCAAAGGTGAGGGAGATCTGGCCTTTTACATTTATCACACATAATTCTGAATCTCTAAGTCTATATTTTGGGGCTTCCATTTGTTGACTTTAAAGTAAAGACCTAAAGTAATTTGCTCTGAATTGCTTTTAGTGGTTTGCGACGGGATCTCATGACTCAGTATGCAGCTGAGGATGATCTTCAATGCCTGATGTTCCTGCCCCATCTCCAAAATGCTATGATTACAAAGACACGGCCTACCATGGCTGGCTAAAGTAGTGTTTTCCGACTACAGCCTGGTAGGAATGGAATAAAAGAGAACATGTTATAGCGTGTCACATCACAGAGCAGAAAGTATCTTCCTGGAATATAGTATATATTTTAGACATTTATGTTGTTAGCTGTGTGCATGCATTTTCTGCATCATAAAGCCAGTGGTTGAGATGTGACCATGGTCTTCCAGTCTGGAGAGTCCATGTTTAAGCTGATGTCCTGACTGTAGAATTGGCAGATCTACCTCCACATACAAGCAGCAGAGACTTGAAGACAGAGCTTCCTGAGACCACAAGGTGACAGCAGGCACGTACATATTCTATGTTTTTAATTATTCCGTTTATTTATTTTGTAAGTGAGAGAGAGGTGGGGGAGAGGGAGGAAGGAAAGGAGGGAGGAGAGAGTGAGAGCACATGACACAGCCTCCTGTGAAGGCTAGAGAAGAATTTGTGGGAACCAGTCCTCTCCTACCACGTGAGTCCCGGGAACTGAAGCGGGTCGGGACCTTTTCTGGCTGAGCCAATCTTATGGATCCAGATTCTATCCTTTACCACTTGCTTTGTCTCTGCCTTTGGAACTTTTTAAAAGGGAAAGGGAAAGGCTGAGAAAAATCACCGGAAATAACTGAAGACCTGTAGGACCTCAATAAAGTGGTACATACACTACAAATAATGGGTTTTTCCAGTTCATACAACGATGCAACACAGACAGGAGAAAGATGGGCCAGGGAGTCGGAGGAGAATCTCTCACGCAGGTTTTATTGTGTCTTATGCAGCCAAATTACAAAAGGAAAATGTTGAGGGAAAGGGAGAGAATTTATTGTTTTCTTTATCTTTTCAGCTTGTTGACAATGTACAATGCAATGTAAATAAAAGATGGCCAGAAAGATGGTGAGATGCATCCAAACTAAAGATGTTTGCTGCTGCAAGCCTGAAGATCTGAGTGTGATCCTTGTGACCCGCACTACAGAATTCAGTGCTCACAAGTCCTCTGATTCAATGTGTGTGTCATAGCATGCTCACACCCACACACATACACCCCCCACGCCCCACACACAATAAATAAATGGAATTCATAAATTTTAAAAAGCAAAGCTAGATTAAGCCAGAAATATTTTCAGCTAACTAGATGTTTAATAAAGACATAGCCTAGGAATTCACTCCAGCATTCCTTCCCGTGTGTGTTCCATTGCTTTAACCGGCTACCATTGCAAATATTTTTCAATGTTAACAAAAGTTACACCGTCATTGTCAAGTGTGTCTTAGAGCAGATCCCCAGAGGGAGGATTTCTGTGCAAAGTGGCAAAAAGTAACACAATAAATTACAGGTTTTCATGAAATCATTATATAATTTTTTGAAATACAAATAATGAAGGACAAAATGCTGACAGACCTCAACTACCATTGACACAGCTTTGTAAGTTTTATTTTTAGTAAGTAATATATTATTTCAAAAGTCAAAACTATGTGGAAAGATGCACATTGAGCTTCCTTCTGTCATGGCCATAGTTTATGCAAATCCAAACACAAAGTATGTACAAATGTTTTGTGTTTTTCTCCCTCACCCTTTCACAGGATAATACCCATTCTGGACTGTCTGTCCCTGGGCTGAGTCTGTAAAGGGACATAGTTCTTTTGTTCTCAGTGATAGGTGGCATACATCGTGTGATGGAACAAGACTTTTTTCTGGCTCATATCTATCTACAGGTGAGTGTGTGTATGTAAGAAATTAGTCCTTCCTTTGCAATACAAAAAAATGCAAGCTACACTTCCTTTTTCAAGATAGTCAGTCACCTGTCTTTAGAATTGTTTGGGATGAATTTTGCTATACCACCTGTGCTGGCTAGTTTTATGTCAACTTGACACACGCTGTAGTTATCTGAGAGGAGACAAACTCAACTGAGAAAATATCCACAGGCTGTCGCAAGCTTGTAGAGCACTTTCTTAATTGCTGGTTGATGGGGGAGAGCACAGCTCGTGGTGGGTGGTGCCATCCTTGGGCTGGTGGTCCTGCGTTCTACAAGAAAGCAGACTGAGCAAGACAGGGGTAGCAAGCCCTCCATGGCCTCTTTATCAGCCTCTAACCCCAGGTTCCCGCCCTGTTTAAGTTCCTACCCTGACTTCCTTCAATGATGACTGGAGATGTGGAAGTGTGAGCGCTTTCTCCCACAAGGTGCTTTGGTCATGGTGTTTCATCATGACAATAGTATCCCCTAACTAGGACACCATCTTCTTTATTTTTGTGTAATATATATATATATATATATATATATATATATATATATATATATATATTTTAATCAAACCACCGTACTGACCCATCTCCACCCTAGCTGGTCTGGACCACCTCCTCTAGGAGGAAGGCCAATTTGGGAAATCAAACACCCGGAGGATGCCTACTTAGTGATAGGAACCAATGCCCAAGAGAACCCACTGCCCAGCTACCAGGATGTGAGGGTTCAGAACTTCCCCAAGTTTTGAAGGTAGGAAGATGAAAGTTATACTTGCTTTCTCTCTTCCTAAGCACTGAGCTCTGACCATCTGCTTACTCCTCCAGAGACTTAGTGTTCTTAACTGTACCTGGGCTATAATAACAGCGTATCTTACTTCAAGCAAGAGTATATTAATGTGTGTTAAAGGCCACATCCCAGCATTTGGTGGCTTGAAAGAGCCAGCTGGAAATTTTTCAGGCATTTTGTGAGTCCATTGTTCAGCCCAGCAGTTACTAAAAGCATATAAGTTACAATTAAATACCATATTTTTCAAGTCAGGTACCAAGCTCTTCCAACTATATAATAAGCATCCCACACCTCTCGTACTTTGAGATGATGTGATACTGTGCATTTCTTCAGTCACATTGTTAATTGACTGTCTGGTGGGAATAGTTCAGCCATAAAAATGGGCAGCATTACAAGGAGGGCTTTTTTTTTTTTTTTTTGAGCATGTATTTTGGGGAGATCGTTTTTCTAAGAGTTGGGTTTTTCTGTAGAGGCTGATTTTTAGGGGCAGAGAAGATGCTGAATGCTGTTATTGGGTTCAACTGTCAGAACTAGGAGGAACGCCTCCTAGGATGGTCTCAACAAACTGGGAAGTAAACAGGAAGTAAACGAGGTCCTTCTCATCCTTTCGGCCTTCATCTTCCCGTGGTACTCCCATGTAGGACCTGACGGAGGTTGTGAGGCAGCCAGATCTGGAGCTGGGGCTAGGTCCTCCTGAGCAGTACACGGTGGCTTAGGTCATCACGTCCTGATCTGGGACGGCTTCATTCTCACTGGTGCTGCTGTCACACCTTGGTAAGTGGCCCCTTCATTACATCTGTTGTGTATAGTCTTTTGATCTGAATTCTTCGTGTGGGAATCCTAATACAGTATCCTTTCATTTCCCGGCACAAAAAGAGTAAAGGATACCAAATCCGTACCAGTCATGGTGTTGGCATCCTACTAAAATGGTTTTTATTGTTCCTGTAAAGGGAGTGGGGTGGCAGATACAAGTGGGGACTATGTGAGGCTGGGAGAAACTCAAAGCTTTCGGGGGGAGCATGTATTAAATATTGTCATACAGGGTCTTAGTTAGGGTCACTACTGCAGTGATGAAACATAAGGACCGAAAGCAACTTGGGGAAAGGAAAGAGTTTATTTCATCTATGTTACCACACCACGGTTCATCATCAGAAGTCAGCCAAGGCAGGAACTCAAACAGGGCAGGAACCTGGAGGCAGGAGCTGAGGCAGAGCCATGGAGGGGTGCTGCTTACTGGCTTGCTCCTCATGGCTTGCTCAACCTGCTTTCTTACAGAACTAGAACCACCATCCCAGGGATGGCACTACCCACCATGCACTGGGCCCTCCCGCATCACTCACTAACTAAGAAAAAGCCCTACAGGGCTGCCTGCTTACACCCTGATCTTCTGGAGGCATTTTCTCAATGGAGACTCCCTCATCTAAGATGACTACAGCTTCTGTCAAGTTGACATAACACTAGCCAGCATGTATAGAACAGAGGCCCAAAGAAGACAGAGATTCTGCTCTCCACTGTTCACTCTCAGTGCCTACACTTCAGCCTAACTCACAGCGAGTGCTTCATAAGGCAGAGCCCTCAAGTGCAAAAGGAAGCATTTGGAATCTCTACTAGCGCTGATGATGAATTCTGAAGTCTTTGCTATCAGCACTCCTCTGGGTGTTCACTGTTGATTACTAATGGAAGGTGCTGGGAATGGAGCCATCTGCCTCCCTGATTGGCAGCTGTTGGACTCTTTCTTCTTGCACTGGCTACCTTGAGGAAAAAGAATGTCAGCCAAACATAGAGCCAAGACTGCATTTGTGCCAACACCAGCTAATTCAGATGTCCCATAGATACCTTGGGACAACCATACAAAGAAGCCCCTGGCTCCTGAAGGCACAGACTCAGCCAGGATTATTAACAAGTAGTCCGATGAGAATCTTTGCTGTCACTAGCTTGTATGAACTCTGGATGACCTTACAACTCTTCCCCACTAGCTGCTCCTAACTCGGTCAGATGGCTATGTAAAGCAAGCAGGTCTTACGAGGAATCAGCTTTGAGTTCAGAAGCATGCTGGTTAGTTTTGTGTCAGTTTGACACACAAACTTGAGTCGTCTGAAAGGAGGAGACCTCAGTTGAGACAATGCCTCCGTCAGATCCGGCCGTAAGGCATTTTGCTAATCGGTGATTGATGTGGGAGGGTCCAGCTCATGGTGAGTGGTATCACCCCTGGGCTGGTGGTCCTGGGTTCTATAAGAAAGCAGGCTGAACAAGCCAGGAGTAGTAAGCCAATAGATGGCACCCCTCCATGGCCTCTGCATCAGCTCCTGCCTCCAGGTTCCTGCCCTGTTTCAGTTCCTGTCCTGACTTCCTGCAATGATGAACAACTATGTGGAAGGGTAAGCCAAATAAACCCTTTCTTCCCAGCTTGCTTTTTAGTCATGGTGTTTCGTTGCAGCAAAAGAACCCCTAAAACAAGAGGGAAAAAGAAAGGAGCTGTGCCAAACATGTCATGACATCAGAACAAATATACCGCTATCACTTTGCCTGGCAAGCACTTTTGCTCTTTCCTGCCATGATGCGAGGTCTAGCATTTATCCCTAGACTGGGGCCTTGGCATATTGAGATAATCATGCCAGTGATAATGTATAAGGGACCTGGGGAGATGGCTCAGTTGGTAAAATGCTTGACTTGAAAAGGTGAGGGCCCAAGTTCACTTCTTAACACCTAGGCACAAAAAGGTCTATGGCCATACTTGTAATCATTTCCGCTTCTCTTCCTGAAGTGACCTGTATCTCCCTGTCTCTTCCTTCTGAAGATCGTATAAGCGTGTCGATCTCACTGAGTTTTAGGATAGTCTCTTCTCTTTCATGTAATATTCTTTGCACGTGAACAAATTTTAAGTAACTGTTCCCCTGCAACGTGCCTGATGTCAGTTTATTTCATAGACTGCGTTACAGAACCTTTCAAGGGTAGAGGCACTGATCTCCACACCCCTACATGTTTCTCTTACAAACTTATGCCAAATGTTCTCAGGCCGGCCTGCCTGCCTGCCTGCCTGCCTGCTGCCATGCTCCCTGTCCTGATGATCATGGACTCTAACCTTTGAAGCTGTAAGTCCCCAGTAAACTCTTTCTGGTATAAGTTACCTTGGTCGTGGTCTCTTCACAGCAATAGAAACGTAACTGAGACAGAAGGGCTGAGGCTAATGATTCAGTTTAAGATGATTCAGAACCCAGCAGCAGGAGGAAGGAAGGATCATGTTTAAGTACAAATCAGTAACATACAAGTCATGTGTCTGCAAGAGTTGAAGCAATATAAAAGCCTCTTCTTTTGAAGTCAGCAAGATAGATCTTTGTCAAAAAATTAAGCCCAATGTGGTAGCAAATCCCTGTAATCCTAGCACAGCAGAGGCTAAGGTGCCAGGCAGGAGAGATGTTCTAAAGAGAGATGTGCATCTCCTTAGCCTATCAGACTGCTGAAATGATGGATCCCAGAGAATAAAATCATCCCCAGAAGTCCCAAACGCAGGGAAGGGAAAAACTAAATCCCCAGTGCCAGCCAGAGGAGGCATCTGCCTTCCAGGAGGAGACTTCAAACAGTTCTGAGAACTCATCAGACCACACAGAGAGAGCAGAGCTTAGACCATGGTAGGACCATACCTACACCTGGATCGTTGAACTCTCCGTACTAATTAGCCCCTTGCCCTCTATTTAAACCCAAGCCTTATGTCAGTGCCCGTGAAGACAGGCTTGAAGGCTGCTGGACCCTTTACTCCTCTTCCCACTGTGGCAGCGATGAAGAAGTCCCCTTTCCCCTATTTCTTTAATTGGTATAATGAGCACAGGTGGCTGAGCCTAGGTTATTGAGGTTTTGGGGACCCAGATCTTGCCCTAAGAACTCTGGAAACAGCTGGAACACAAATTCCAGGCCAGCTTGGGTAGTAAGGAATCTGCCTCCCCGGCCCATAAGAAACCAAGAGAAATAGAAGAGGAGGATGAAATTTAAACACTGAGACAAAAATACATTTGTTGCTTACCTGGAACAAAGTCTCGTTGGAAGTGTGTGGCTTGCTTTGGTTGAAGACAAAGTTTCACGTAGCCCAGGGTGGCATTAAACTTGCTATGTGCCCAAGGATGACCTGAGCTCCTGATCCTCTTGCCTCTCCCTCCCAAGTGCTGGGATGACAAGCGTGTGCCGCCACACCTGGTTGACTTTGTGGTTTTTTGGTTTGTTTGGTTGGTTGGTTTAATAAATACTTTTTGAAATGTATACAGATTAAAAAGGAGCCAAAGATGATTTAGCTCCCCGTGGTCAATAGCATGGAAATGAGCGAACAAGGAGAATGTGGACAATGACTGAGCTCAGGGCCAGACTCCACGGGGCAGCACCTGTAACAGGAAAGGCCGGACTTCGAATGGTGCCAGGAAACTCCACCACTCAGTTACCCAAGCGGCAATCCAGTGTGCTAAGTGCTGAAGAGAACAAAACGGATTCTAAGTTTTGTTAACAGAAAGCAAATGGCCATTCTGGAAACAAGGGGTAGGGAAGAATTTCTCAAATCTAAGCAGAAGTTATGAGGTGAGTTTCAATAATTTTGACTACAGTAAAGTTAAGGCTCTCTGTTAAGATTTACACTGTTAACACAGATACCACTTTACTCCTACCAGAGCGGTATGACGCAACATGTTAGAAAGTGTCATGGATGACCGGAAGGGGGATGACTGAAATTCAGAATACTCTCAGGGTCTGATACAAGAACACCTGCTAGTCCTCAGTACCTGTTTGAATCAAAGCCTTCGTTGAGGGGGTGATGATGAAGGGCAGCGGCTGTATACTGTAGAGAGGCTCAGTCTGAAGTTACTGGAGCTGAGATAAACTCCACATGCACCAGGGAAGGGCCTAGTCACTGGAAGTGAGTCAGTTTTTGCCCTGAGCAGTGCAGCCTGAGGAATTCCTCTCAAGGTGCTCAGGTGCACCCAGACCCTTGACATCCACAAGAAAGAATTTCAGAGCACATTAAAGTGAGACAAAAGTTGTTGAGTTTCTTGATTAAACAGAAAGACAAGACACACTTGAAGAGTGAGGTGTGGACATTAGGTGACGAGCCCCTCCAGTGCCCCAGCAGTAGCAATAAATGTGCTGGTGGCAGAGAGGTGGGGGTGGGATTGAAGCTCTCTAATCTGTGACTAAGTTTAGGCAGTAGAAAGGCTGTGTGTACTGGTATGCTTTCATTGAGCCAAAGAATTCTGTTCTGGAGACTCCTTAGGTATATTTGCAGCTTGCAGGTAAAAATGGGGTGGGGGGGGGGGGGCCGCCGCTAAAATAGGAAGAAGCATTGGTTACTCTTTAACAATCTCTTTTGAGCTGTTTCTCAGACAAGGGAGCACAGTTTTCTGCAGGTGGTCTGGTCAGTTAAGTTGAAATTCCTGGATGTCAACCAGAGAGTATGGGAATCACAACAGGAACCCTTGACTTCTCCTACCACTCTGTCTCCTAAGTAGCTACCCTGCCTCCATATCTAAAGAGCATTCTGAATCACAGGAATATGAAACAGCCTAACATCACAGTAGCAGAGACTGAGGCACTCCCAAATCCACATGGTGGTGACATACATAGACGTGTCCACCGATGGAAGAACGAAATAACAGAGTTAACCTAGTCCTTGGACTCAAATGCATATTATCTACATAGCTGAAGTACAACCAATATCAACGCAGTGGAAAAGCGAGTGACTAAAGGAAAGACAGGAAGGCCGGTAGAAGAGGGCAGTTAATACACACTAATTTGCCTTCTCTTTTTAAAGTCACTTAAATAATGTGGTATGGAATCTGACATTTGGAAAACTTTAATATACAGTACTTTCTGTACGGTACTGGGCATTGAACCCAGAGCCTTGTGCTCAGCATTCACTGTTGAGCTATAGTCCCAGTTTTTATTGTTTTTATTATTTTTGTATGTATTAGTACACTCCAAAGGCAGCAGTGGTAACAGAAAAATTGTATCTGTGTCTGTATTTTGAGACGGGATTCCCCTAAACTGCTTAGGCAAGACTGTAGCATGAATCTTAAAAAGTCTTAATAAGCCAGGCGGTGGTGGCGCACGCCTTTAATCCCAGCACTGGGGAGGCAGAGGCAGGCGGATCTCTGTGAGTTCGAGGCCAGCCTGGTCTACAGAGCGAGATCCAGGAAAGGTGCAAAGCTACACAGAGAAACCCTGTCTCGAAAAACCAAAAAAAAAAAAGTCTTAATAAAAACAAACCCGGAGCCAGGTATAGGGGTTAATGTTGAAAGATCAGAGAAACAGAACAAGCCACAGCCACCTCACCTTGCCAATTCCTCAGCTGATCCTGTTTCCTCAGACTGGAAGCCTCTGAGTCTTCATTCAAATGGATCTCAGGGGAACTGTTGCTAAAAGCCTAAAAGCTTAACCAACTCTAGTTCCTGGTCCTCACGCCTTTCTGCTTCCTGTCATCACTTCCTGGGATTAAAGGCATGTGTCACCATGCCTGGCTGTTTCCAGTGTGGCTTTGAACTCACAGAGATCCGAGATCCGGATGGATCTCTGCCTCCGGAGTGCTAGCATTAAAGGCGTGTGCTACCACTGCCTAACCTCTATATTTAATACAGTGGCTGTTCTGTTCTCTGACCCCCAGATAAGTTTATTGGGGTGCACAATATATCAACCACACAAGACTTGAACTTATGACCCTGCTGATTCAGCCTCTCTAGCAACAAGAAGGCCTGCGCCTCCAAGCCCAACTTTTAAACATCTTTTTAATACAAACAGGCACAAGAGAACACAGCCTGTCTTTAAAGTGTGGCTGTTTGGGGGATGTGGGCGAGTTCTTCCTTTTATTTCACTTCACCTTTTATTTCTTTATAAACACCTTAAAGCAAATACAGTCACATGTATTTAAAAGTAGGAAGGTTCAGTCCGCAAAGTTCCATTATTTGGGGGAATAGAATTGAATCCCACTCAGTCTTTCACAAGGAAGGTCAGTTAAGTGCAGATGCAGTCTACCAAGCCAGAAAGGGTGGATCACATTTAGGCTCCGCCCATCCCCATCCCCCACCGCCCACTCGGGTCTTGTCTCACTCTATTGCCATCATCACCCCCAGTCTGCTGCTCCCATCTGGACCTCTCAACCTAGAGAATCAGGGATGCAGCGATCTAGCCTCAGGCGCTTTGTTCACAGTGACCTAGGCTGATAAGATACTGGGTCTGGTGACAGCCGGCCCGATCAGAAGCATCAAAAAATCAAACCTTGCTGTCAGCGCTGTGTCAATGGAGTCCCAGAGCTAAGCCTGCCACACCAGGTCTCAGGCCTAGCTGAGTCTGAACGCATGCTCCCCAGGGGGGCTGGCTGCTCAGGAGTACGTCTCATAAATAGCCAAAATTCTGTTGTGAAATATCACGAGAACAATTTATTTTTAGCAGAACAAAACATGGCAAACTCCTTATTTTAGTTATTTACACAATACTTGTTAACAAAGCAATGGATTTCTTTTTTTTTTTTTTTTTTTTAAAGATTTATTTATTTATTATGTATACAGTGTTCTGTTTGCATGTATGCCTATAGGCCAGAAGAGGGAGCCAGATCTCCTTACAGATGGTTGTGAGCCACCATGTGGGTGCTGGGAATTGAACTCAGGACCTCTGGAAGAACAGCCAGTGTTCTTAACCTCTGAGCCATCTCTCCAGCCCAGCAATGGATTTCTTTATAGCACTTCTAGATAGTATACTTCGTTCTAATCCATCTCCTCACATCTTTCCTGGTCACCCTGTGCTGGTTCTTTTCCTCTCCCCCAAGTAGCCCCCTTCTGCCTTCTGGTCACAGCTATCATTGCCCCTCTCATTCCCGACTCTCTACTCCTAAGACATCTCCTTTCATTACCAAATCTGGTTTCTAGTTTCATGACCATCCCCACCACCACACACAAATTTAAATCTAGTTTCCATATATGAGAAAACATGAACTATTTTTCTCCGTGTCCGTCTTCTTTGGGTTAGCATGATTTCTGGCTCCAAACATCTTCACAAGAAATAAACTCATGATCATGTCCTTGCAGAACTTATTGTTTTAAATTGTGAATTGACAGCAAAAATATCTTTAATTTCCTTGTAGCTCATTGGTCAGGTCCTGAGTTGAGGGTTCTCTGGATAATTAGACTTGGCCCCCTTCTGCTGATACAGCTGATGAGGAGACACAGATTCAGGGTGCCCACAGGCCATGGGCCTCTCCCTCTACCAACTGTGGCACTGCCGCCCATCAACCTCCCGACAAAAGGCTGACCATAGAGCTTTGGCCACTTCGGAACAAAATCAGAAGAGAGACCATGAGAGGGAGCTGCTTAGTGACTCTGACTTATGATGGGAAGGCTGGAGGTTCAAATCTTTTCCTTGTTGTTTGGGAGTGGCTTTATTTTAGCTAGCCATGGTGGTGTGCAGTTGTAATCCCAGCACTTGGAAGGTGGAGCAGAAGGATCGGATGTTCAAGGTCATGCTCAGCTACTTAGCTTGGGGAAGTGGTTAAGAGAGAGGGGAAGAGGATGTATGTTTTCCAATAATTCAATCATTTGATGGTGAAGTTCATTAATTTCATTAAAATATCCAGCACTTTGTTCCTGCACTTCTTAACTAGAACCCAGGGTCACAGCTCCAGCAGAGACCAGAGGGATCCCATGGAAAGGTGTGAGGGGTATGTCTAGCTTTCACTTACTACTTATAATGGACCCAGAATGTGCAGTGCACTAAAGGAAGTACCCAGGAGTGGATCTTACATGGCAGGGGCACCTGGAAAGTGGCTAACAGCTGTCAACTGGGGAATCATATCAAATAGGATGAACACCGTAACTTGATTAAAGAACATAATTATTTAAAATATTTACAGGAAGTTCCTACCGTTGATGTTACTAGAATTTAAGACTGAGGTCTATGGGACCAGAACTGCGCCGGGGAGAGCAGGCTGACCTGATAACAGACCTTCTGTGTAGTATCTTGTTGATGTTTCTCCAGCGGCCCCTGTCTAACATTCCTGCTATGCCCTGTCTCTACAGCTGGTCTTCTCCATGCCCCACCCATGCCTGACCTGCCAAACAGTTAACAAAGGACAGAAGTTCAAAGGGAAGATTCTCCTTTTCTGTTTAGCTAAATGTGTCCCGAACAATATCCACTAATTCTGCATGCCGATGATGGGTTCCCAGACTGGATATATGAGAAGCTTGGGTGGGATGGAGTGGGAAAGAGCTCCTGCCACAGCCTTCTAGTAAGTATTTCCTGAATTATACTCAGAATTCATACAAAGTTGTGTTAGTCAAGTTCATGCCCTGCCCACCTTGAGGTAGACAAAACAGGAACCATAGTACATTTTTAATCCTGTCAGTATGAACAGAAAACAAGAGTTATCTTGAGATTCTTCCTCTGAACACAGAGGCTGTGTAGTATGTTCATAATTTTTCAATATTCCAATGCATCTTGAAAGATTTATTTTAATATGTTGAAATCTACTTCTTTAAAACATGTTAGTCTAGTTGGAGTATACCAAATGGTCTTACACACAACTTGACTATGTTGTCTGGAAGGAAAAAAATAAGCCAGGGCAACAGCAAGAGCAATGGTTGAGTTAATGCTGTTTTGAGTTCTTATTCTTTCATCCAGTTAACAGACATTGTCATTCATTCATCCTTCACACAGGAGGTTGATGGGCAACAAATACAGTTGAGAAACAAAAACTTTGACCTTGGTGTCACTTTATCATCACCCTAAAGAGGACTGAAAATCAAAATCCTAAACCCACAAAGGGAAGGAGAAAAAAGATATAATTGTCGCTATTATTTTGTTTTCCTTTCCCTGAAGCTGACCATCTATGATATTTTTAGCCTTTCTATCAATCAAATCAGTGCACATTTATTGAAGGTTCATTAAAAAGCATTGGAACAACAGTGAAGGAAAACATTCAAGTTTCTGCCTTATGAGACTTACGCATTTTTCCATGCTACCATGGGGACTTTTATCTCTTCCCTTGATCATTTCTGGCAGGTAGGAACAAAGGAGAATCTTTATAAACCTGGAAAAAGGGCCTCAAGTGTTACGAGTCTTTCTTTGTCCCACCAGTCAGCTCCTAAATAACCACACAGAGACTTCTTATTAACTATGAAAGCTGGAACTATAGCTTACGTTTGTCTCAACTAGCTCTTATAACTTAAATTATCCCATTTACGTTAATCTACATTCTGTTATGTGGCATTTTACCTCTCTTTAATATAGTACCTCTTGTTTCCTCTCTGCCTCGCTGATGACTCCAATCTTTCTTTTTCCCAGAGCCCTCTCTGTCCCAGGAAGTCCCACCTAACCTCTTCCTGCCTAGCTATTGGCCACTCAGCTCTTACACCAATCACAGAATACATTTTTACACAGTGTACAAATATCCCACAACATCAGAGTATCCCGGAAGGAAGCCTTGGGGAAGGTGAAGATGTGGGAGCCAGAGGTCACATTGCAGAAGGATACAACTCCAGCTTCACAGTCTAGAAAAACTCCCACCAGCTGGGGCTTCTCAGTCAGATGAAGGGAAGTAGGGGTAGAAGTGAGAGCTCCAAGGCCATCCTTTTTACACATCCTGATGGTCCAGAATCCAAACTCAGGCTCCTTCTTCATGTCAAAGCCCCTCGGCACATCCTTTATACAGACTCCCACATCCCAAGTGGTTGCATTCTCAACAGACACTTCGAAGTAGTATCTTCCTGAAGTAAAGTCCTTACAGCCCAGGACACAGGGTAAAACATAAAATCTCTCAGTAGAAGCCTCAAGATTCTTGTGGCTTTGTTTGTAAGTCACTTGTCTTCGATCTTTAGACAGAATTAGGTCAGGATGGGCTGTGCTTGGGTCCAGAGTCACACTGACTGTAAAACAACCACAACCAGTCTTTTGGGAGCTGGAAACAGGATAATTTAAAAACAAACAAACAAACAAACAACAATACAAACCCTCTGTGTTCAAATCTGGGCATGATTTGACATTGAAACCTTAGCTATGCGAACTATGTGTGAAGTGCCTAGGAAGGGGAATCATCGAGCCTAGTGCAGACACCAGTGAGTAGAGTTAAGTGAGTTCATGTTTGCCTGGGACATGGGACATGCCTAATCAGCAGTGGCAACAATGAGTCAACCCCCTCATCTGTATCACCAGCATCTTGAGTTACTTGGAGATGCCAAGGATCAGAACTCTTTGGAGTTACTCTGGTTCTGCTCTGCCCCAAACCCTCCTGAATTTAGAACTTTTAGGATTGGTGACACTGATCATGGAGCATAAAGGAGCCCTTCCCAACTCTGTTCATATCTTATACAAACACTATCTCAAAAAACAAAAACAACACCAAAACACAAATAAACAGAAATTTCATACACACACACACACACACACAAATACACAAATCACCAACCAAAAATAGAAACAAAGAACTTCCCCAAACTTTTATTGACTAGAAGTTTTTGAATTTTGTAATCATGGACAAGAAGCTATAGGACGTAGCAAGCACTGTGTAACAGAACAGAGCAGGAAGCTTATTCATTGGGATTAGTAGCATTTCATTTTTTTATCTAACATGTTCATTCATTGTCTGAGAAGAGACCCTAAAATGATTTCCATCATACTACATACTGCTCAACTACAGTAGTGTTTTTAATGAGAATGGTCCCCATAGACTCATATATTGGAATGTTTGGTCCTCAGTTGGTAGAAATCTTTGGGAAGATTAGGCCGGGTGGCCTTATTGGTGGAGCCCTGACACTGGTGACAGTTTTGAAGTTTCAAAAGACTAGCAATTCCCAGTATCCCTCTCTACCGCCTGCTTGCAGCTCAAGAAGTACATTCTCAGCTGCGCCTGCCACCATGCCTGTGCTCTGCCATCGCTGGCTCTAACCCTGTGGAAGCCTAAGCCCCAAATTAATTGCCTTCTTTTATTTGTTTGCCCCGGCCATGGTGTCTTATTAAGGCAATAGATAAAGTAGCTAAGACATCTGCCTTGCTAACATTGCTCCAAGAGTCAGAACAATTCACAAGAAACACTGGGTGTCAGTTACTATTTTCTTACTGAGACAAAAAGCAGCTTGGGGTGGGGGTTTATGTCCTCGTCCACATTTCCGAAGAATGCAGTTCATCACAGAGGGAAGGCGTGTCTGCAGGGGTGATCTGGTCCCTGCATGGACCAGGAAACAGATACAGATAAAGGAAGGCCTGTGCTAGGCTTGGCTTCTCCTCTTTGTCTTTTCCTTGTTCCCAAGACTCCAGCCCATGGCACGATGCTGCCCACATTCAGGGTGGACCCTCCTTCCTCAGCCAAACCTTTCTAGAAACATCTTTACAACATGAGCAAAGGTGTGCTTCATTAACGCCACAGGAATTTATTAATCTAATCAAGTTGACAAAATTAACTATCATATTCTGTAAGCATCTCTAAGACCACACTGTTCCCTGAGCATGCATGAGTTACTATGCAATGGGTCCACACTGTTGACGTAGTTAATTTCCATGACAATTCAATGGAGGGGGGACTTTCCTTATACTTATCTTTTTGTTTTTCATATGGAGACACTGAGAGACTGGTGTTGCCTACAGAGAGATGGCTAATAATGAAAAAGCAGAACCTAGAAGGGACTGTGCAGAGAGCTATGCGCTTAGTATGCAAAGCATGTTAAATATTAAAAAACAAGAGATGACAACTCCACAAAACTAAGTGAGCAACCAGATCTTCATATGGGAGTGCATCTCCTGGAGTAAGTGCAGAAGCATGGGTTCATTCCATCCCATCACATGGTGTGTGGCACTGATGCGGCTCCAGGACCTCCCAGTGCTGAAGAGTCTCCTGTTTGCGGTGGGAAGGCAGGAACCTGTCTAATGTTTGCGTCTAGCCTGTGTTGGCTAGTGGCTGGAATGAACTCCATGCACTCTTTGCAGTCTGAGGATCCAGCACTGGACATGAATAACTATCATAATTATTCCCCAACGGACTCCAGAATCCAAGTTTAACTCATACTTCCTCCTGTGCCCTTATCCCCTTTACCAGCTCCCTTGAACCATTGTGCATGTTATTACGTAAGCAAGCAGAAAGGGTATTTGTGCACTTACCCCATTAACCTGCAATTACAAATGTGGTCAGGCCTTGTCTGAACATGATGATCCATTTCCCTCCTTTCTATAATAATTCTGTCTTCGTGAAGTCACCCTTGCTTGGATTTTTGGAATCGAGAGGCTGAGGCTGACTCACTCAATGTGTGGCACCCTGTCACCTCCCGCCTTTTGTCCATAAAGCACCGGGCACACAGGCATGTAGGTATCAATGATGAGCGTCCCGGCTGCCTCCACAGTGCTCTCTGTTGTTCCCTGTTCTGCAGTGCTGAGTCTGCTCATGGAAATGTCTCTGTATCCTGCAGAGTGGTGAGGAGGAAAGGTGACATCCCAGCAGGGCAGAGACAGAGCTGGCTGGCTTGGGGGAATTTTGTGATGTCAGGGAAGCGCTGTGACAACCCCCGCTTTGTACCACTGCCACCGGAGCAGTTATGAACCAAGAAGCAGTTATGAACCAAAATGCCAGTGGAATAGCAGCTTTAGAAGCCTTTGGAGTCCAAGGTTGGAAGTAAAAGCAGGTAGATCTCACATCAGAGCATGCGCTGACCTTCTGCTCTCTTCCTGCTGGATCACAAGAGTTTTGAACTTTGTCACTGATTTGTTCCTTGCACTAAATACTTTACATCATGTTCCTTTTGTCCCCTCTGTCCTTTAAGGATAAGAGGGGTCAAAGGAGAGGAGCGCCTCCATTGCCGGGCGATTGGCCTCCCACAGAGCTCTGGACTGTGAAGTGACTCGGCAGTGATTCCTAGAGTTTCTGGAAGTGGCAACTGTCCAGCAGAGCAGTCCTGGACCCCTGGCTGTCTTCCTGAGATGCCAGCCTGGGTACTCTGGCGGGAAGGTGATTACAGGTGACTAATGTGCGTGCAGGGCGGAGCTGAGGGGAGAGTGTCATCTCCAGATAACAGAGGCCTCGCCCCACAGCTCTGAAAAGGCTCAGAGCATAGGCAGCTCTCACATCTGCTTTTGCTTCTTAAATGACACAATCTCAGAAAACCGAGAACACAGGTGAGTGAAGCTTGGGCCAGGTTGCTGGGGCCTTTGAAGTGGTGGGGAAGTCCATCTGTCATGAATGTGGTGCCTCTTTGCAGAGCAGGCCCAACTGTACCCAATGGGGTCAGTATCCTACCTGTGACCAGAAGGCTTCTGAAGAAACCCTTTGTGGCTCTGTGGCTTGGTTTTAAGAGGAATGCAGCCGGTTTTTCAGTTCAACTTAATTCCTGATTCCTGTTTTAGTTCTCTCTCTCTCTCTCTCTCTCTCTCTCTCTCTCTCTCTCTCTCTCTCTCTCTCTCTCTCTCTCTGTGTGTGTGTGTGTGTGTGTGTGTGTGTGTGTGTGTGTGTGTGTGTGTGTGTGTGTATGTGTGTGTGTAGAACTGGGATGGGTCTCAGAAGCAGCTGCCACAGGACAGGAAACAGAAAGTGTTGCTGTCAGACACTTCCACTCCCTCTGGTCATCATGTCCTCATGGGGCACATCAGATCTCTGGTTCTCCCTGAGCTCTGGCCTCCTTCCCACTTTATATCCTGGGCTCTGACATGGCATTCCCTCAGTTCTCGTCACCTAAACTTCTGGGAACAGGTTCTAGTCCAGAGAAGATACATAAATGCCCAAGTTCTTAAGGAATGCTGCTCCCTGCCCCACTTTCCCCTCCTCAGCCCCTTTCCCAGTTTTCTCGGCACAAGAATAAACCAATCTTTGGTCAGCATGGTGGTACATGCCTGTAATGCCAGCACTTGGAGGCAAAGACAGATTAACCACGTCCCAAATCAGACTGATAGACATGGAGTTTTGTTTTGGTTTTGGTTTGGTTTTTTGCCAGTCAGGGCTATGTAGGTAAGCCATGTCTGAAACAGACAAAGAGTCCCACCAATAAATCAGTTCTGGTTACCTCAGTTATATTTACCATCCTCCTGTTTGTGACTCCACTGAGATTTCACTATCGAGATGTCTTGTGATCTTTAGGGGTAGGGGTTTAGGAAGATTCAAATGTGATAGTCTGACTGGAATCTTCCATTGACCATCAGAGTGTTGCCCATAGTTATAAGTCTGATGTCTGTTTTGTTAGATACTAAGACAGTGACACCTGCTTGCTTCCTGGTCCCATTTGGAATACTCTAAGGCAGTGCCTATCTTTAAAGCTATCTTTTCTTGTAGATAAAAGACAAGTGGAATTTGTTTCTTGATCTATTGGCCAGCTTGTATCTTTTGATTAGAGAATTGAGGCCGTTAATATTTAAAGTTACTACTGAAGTGTGTTTATTGATTGCAGTCATTGTGCTGATTTTAGTCCTGTGTTCTTAGTGATACTTTGTGTTTTAGTAATTACGGCTTTGTATTTCTTTGTACAGTCTCTGGACTGTGCTCATGCCTCTCCTATATTTTCTTTAGGTTTGGTTTGTTGGATATAAATATTTTAGGTTGTTTATATCTTTCTCCTTCGACTATGGCACGTAGTTATGCTGGATATATTTGTCTAGGTTGGCCATTGTGGCCTTCCTCTAAGGACTTGGAATGCACTGCTCCAGGTTCTTCTAGCTTTCAAAGTTTGCACTGAGAAATCAGCTGTTATCTTTGTTGTTTTTCCTTTATATGTGACTTGTGTCTTTTTTTTCTCTTGCAGCTTTCAATATAGTTTCTTTGTTTTAACTATAGCACACTGTGGGGATTTTCTTTTCTGGTCTTATCTCTTTGGTATTCTGTGTACTTCATGCATCTATATGAATATGTCTTTCCTTAGTTTGGGGAAGTTTTCTTCTATGATCTTGTTGAAGATATATAGGATTTATGCCACTGGCCTGGGATTCTTCTCTGTAGCGCCCGCGCTACAACCCGTTCACTATGTCCTAGCGAGGGCCTGAGGATTAAATAAAGACAAGACAGCGGGTCACTCGTCTCAAGAGAATGCCGTTTGTTGAAGGAAGGGAGAGGCCTTAAATACAGTGGAAAAACCCATGAGGGCAAAGGTTCCCTATCCCACACCCTAACTTGTTTACTCAACTGAGATGGGTACGCGGAACAAGGAACCTGCAGTTAGCTGTTTTCCAGGAAGGAAGCCGGCAGGAAATCAGCCTAGGGAGGACATCTGGTCAAGGTCAGCAAGCAGGTCAGCAGCTACCCAAGGAGCGGGAGCCAGGGTCAGCAAGCAGGTCAGCAGCTGCCCAAGGAGCGGGAGCCAGGGTCAGCAAGCAGGTCAGCAGCTGCCCAAGGAGCGGGGGCCAGGGTCAGCAAGCAGGTCAGCAGCTGCCCAAGGAGCGGGAGCCAGGGTCAGCAAGCAGGTCAGCAGCCGCCCAAGGAGCGGGAGCCAGGGTCAGCAAGCAAGTCAGCAGCTGCCCAAGGAGCGGGGGTCAAGGTCAGCAAGCAAGTCAGCAGCTACCCAAGGAGCGGGAGCCAGGGTCAGCAAGCAGGTCAGCAGCTGCCCAAGGAGCGGGAGCCAGGGTCAGCAAGCAAGTCAGCAGCTGCCCAAGGAGCGGGGGTCAAGGTCAGCAAGCAAGTCAGCAGCTGCCCAAGGAGCGGGGGCCAGGGTCCAACACTTCTCCCTCATTTATTCCTATAATTGGAAGGTTTGGGTTTTTCTTGGTGTCCCACATTTCCTGTATGTTCCTTTGCTGAGTTTCAGGTTTTTTTAATTCTTTGTTCATGTTGTCCAGATTCTCTGCTTTGTCTTTGAGTCCTGCTCTGCTGTCTTCTAGTTAACTCATCCTGCTTGTAAGGCTTTTGTTTGGGTTTTGTGGTGTGGTTATTGGGGGTTTCAGTTCCATTTTCACTTCACCTCGAGTCTTCTTAAACGTTCCTGTCTCTTTACTGAATTCTGTTTTGAAACCCTGGATTGTCTTCGTCATTTCCGTCAGCCTTAGGGTTGTGTTTTCTTGAGCGTCACTCGGGCTTTTATTCTAAGTCTTTCTCTTTAAGTTCATTGAGCTGTTTCTTCACACTCCTTGAATTTTCTTTAAACTCCTTGAATTCATTGATAAGGTTTATGATTGTTATTTTAAATTCTGTATCCTGAGGTTAGGAAAATTTTCAGTTAGGAAAATTTCATTGGCAAACATTTCTCTAGGAATAGGGAATTTTTTGGGGGGGTGAGGAGATACAGCCTCGATCTTCCATATTATTTGTATTTTTACAATGGAATTTGGGTATGTGGACCTCTTTTGTTCTATGTCTGATATAGACAGAGGAGGTTGGAGCAGATGAAAGAATGTGTGGGTTGGGTTAGGCCTAGAGGTTGGTGAAATGAAGTCAAATGGACACATGGAGCTGGACTGGTATGCAGGATGTGTATACTAGTCCAAGCCTGGAGTTTGGGTGTTAAGGAGTGTGTGTGAAGGGATAGCTCAGGCAAACCTACCAGGCTAGCCCATGGAAAAGAATGTGCAGGATCTTGTCTGAGTGGAGAAGCTGAATGTGGTGTGGGAGGGGCCTATGGGTCAGGATCTTGTCTGAGTGGAGAAGCTGAATGTGGTGTGGGAGGGGCCTATGGGTCAGGTGCAGACAGGGCCTTTCCAGGAGGAAGCTTAGAGCTTGACTGTGACACAGGTACGGGTGGCCACACTAGGCAAGGGCACTGGGTATGGGACCTGAGGCTAGATCTGGGAGGCCAGTGAAGGTTCATGGAGGAGAGAATCAGACAGACTAACCCAGCTAGACCCAGGATAAGGATGTGCAAGATCTGGTTGGGTAGAGCTCTAAATGTCTCAACAGCTATAAATAATGACAGCAACAGCACTATTCATGAGCCCATAGAATGGGAAAAGTTTTCACATTCTCTGTGTTCAACTTCCGAGAGGAATTAGTCTTCTCTACCTTTCCCAGCACATGGCACAAGAGAACACTGGACAGCAATGAACTGTTCTATATCTGGGCTATCATGGAGTCACCAGCTTCAGGTGACAATTGAAAATGGAATGTGCCCAATAAGACTGAGAAACTGAACTTAAAAATGATTAAACTTTTATCAGGTTGAATGTAAATGGCCAAATGGGATAGTGGCTATTATGTAAATACCATGAAACTGTTTATGCATCTTCTCAATTCCAATCTGCTTTTCTTTTCTAGAGACTCCAAACTTCTAAAACCAGCAGCAGCCAGTGATTGCACTTATATTTAGGTGAGGCGTACATCTACCACTGTGGAAAATATTTCTCCACTTCTGTTTGCTTCGTTTGGAAACTACTCAGGAAAAGCCATGGGCACAAGCATTAGCACAATAAAGATGATACAGATCTCTTCTTGCTCCATCTGCAAGGAACTGATGTCTCACCCAGTGAGCATCAACTGTGGACACAGCTATTGCAAATCCTGCATACAGAGGGACTGTAACAAAGTCAACTCAGAGACAGGACCAGGCTGTCCTTTGTGTGGGAGTCCATTTAGTTTAGAGAACCTCCGACCCAACAAGGATCTGGAAAACATAATTGATGTCATCAAGGAGATGGAAGAGGAGGGTAATAAGATGCTATGTAAGGAACATTTAGAGAAACTTGATCTCTTTTGTGAAGATGAGGGTCAGCTCCTCTGCTGGCGCTGTAATTGGGAGGATAGGCACAAAGGTCATTCCGTGGCTCTTGTGGGAGATGTGTGCCGGGGCTACAAGGTGAGTATAATGGTTGGGGGTTTCTAAAAGTGTCCATTCTCTTGTAAGAATTGCTGTGTAACAAGTTCAGACCCCAGCACCCACACAGAAGCTTAGCAAGGATATACTTTATCTAGATAATGCTGAGAGACAGAAGAGGCCAACCACTGTCTTCTGGCCTCTTTGTGTACACACAAGCATGAGTACTCCCATGCCTGTGTATGCATACAACTACATCTCTCCTTCACACCTATCAGGCTATACTATACACACAGCTGTTAAGGGGAGGTATCCTGGATACCTACAGCTGTGAGGAGGAAGGTATCCTGACTGTTGGGAAGTCAGGCTATACCTGAAGCTGGGTTCCAGTGGGGGATGGTCACCCCACAGGATGTGGCCATCCTGCTCCATTCTGAGAGAGCTGGTACAGCTGGATCAGACAGCTGAGCTCAGCTCGGCTCTGCTCCGCTCTGCTCCTCTAAGGGAGTTTCCCAGCAGAGGGAGGTGTCCATTGCTTCTCTGCTCCATTCTGAGTTTCCCAGCAGAGATTCTGCTCTGCTCCGCCAGAAAAAGGTCTTCATCCAAAGCTCTTTCTAGAGATGTATTGGGACGGAGGAATCCAGCAGAGTAGCCGCCTCTGTGAGGTAGAGAAGGGAGGCTGCCAGCTGAACAGGCACCGGGCTTAGAAAGGACTTCTTAGGGGCGGATCGTTTCCAGGCAGAAGATTTTCAGGGTGAGAATTGGTCAGATTTTGATCCCCTTGAGCTTGAACAAGCTCAGATTGGCTGGATTTTGTGCTCAGGGGTTGGTTCGTTTTGTGCCTAGGGATTGGTTGCTTTTCCTGCTCAGGGATTGGTTGGTTTTATGCTCAGTTGGTCAGGGGTAGATTTGGCTCTGGTTCCAAGGTCAGGGTGGGTTTCATTGGCTTACCCTTTTACCCTACAATCATCACCTACCAAGATAGTAGGAGAGACTCTACACATGCGAAGTCACACCATAGGAACTTCCTGATCATCATGGTCAAGCCAAGCAGCCCTGTGAAGGAAAGGGAGGTGTTGACACAGGAAAGAAGCCAGAGCCCAGACCCTCCCACCACTGCTAGTTCTAAACCCTAGGTCAAGTGGTACTTACTATGGAGGAATGTTCATTTGGGAAGCGAAGGGCCAGAGGCACTGAGATTTGGTGCTGTAAAATAAAAACATCAAGGGGAAATTTCAAATTATCTTCAGAAGAAAGAGTGTGAGAGGGCAGGCTCACAAAGACTCCTGAAGAATCAAAGATCTGAAAATAAATGCTCGTGCTGAATTGCGTGGCGGGAGGAGTGCCGTGGCTCTTAGGTCCTCCCTGGAGAGCACAGGACCTTCCGCTCTGACACACGGAGGGACAGGCTCAGTCCTGCTGGCTTTTGATTTTGTTGTTGCTTTGTTTTTCTGAGACAGGGTCTCTCTACATAACCCTTGGCTGTCCTAGAACTCACTATATAGCCCAGGCTAGCTTTGAACTCTGCCTGCTTCTGCCTCCCAGTGGTGTGATCCAAGGCGTACACATCACGCCTGGCTGCTGTCTTGATGCTTGTCTGCTCTTGTGACTTCCAGGAAGGCATACTAAGTGTGGCCTCCTGGTGTTGTCTTCTGTGAGGCAGACATAGTCTCATATAAAGGCCTCCTAAAGATGAATCAGTGCCAACTGCCACTCAGCACACTGGACTCCTTTTTTTAATTAATTAACTTTACAGCCCTGTCACAGTTTCCCCTCCCTCCTCTCCCCACAGTCCCTCCCCACCACCACCCTTTGTTCCCACCCCCCAATCCACTCCTCCTACATTTCTGTTCAGGAAAGGGCAGGTCCCCCATGAGTATCAACAAAGCATGGCATATCAAGTTGCAGTAAGACTAAGCATCTCCCATGTATTAAAGCTGGGCAAGGTGACCCCACACTGGGCTCTGCCTCAGCCTCCCTCGAACAGCCGCAATGCAGAAATTGCTATTTGGATGATTTTTCCACTGAGCAGTAAGAAAAGGAGCAAGGCAGGGTGACAGTGACCAGCCACAGAGGCAGACCGCCAGGGCGGAGTGTTAGTGCTGGCACTGAGCAGATGGGTAACTGTGCTAATTTGCCTGAAGTTTTCCCATCTTGTTATCCCTGTCTGTAAACAGAGATGATAGCCTCAGGGTCCTCAGCACATATGCTGGGAGTTGTGTTTGTTTACGGATATTACACTATGTAAAGTTCAGAACAGTGAGCGGCATATAACAGAGTCAGAGACTTTTTGTGAGATTCCTTGGAAATGAGTGCATACCCATCTGTGGAGTTTACAGTGGACTGGAACCAGCTATTTTATCTTTGACCCCAATGGGCAATTTCTGGTAGCCTCAAATTGCTCCCAGTGAAAATATGAGAAACCACATTGGAAATTAACTCAGGGGTTGGGGGACAAGGACACTACTTCCTTTAAGTTGTTTCTTTTCTTTTTCTTTCTTTTTTTTTTTTTTTTTTTTTTTTTTTTTTTTTTTTTTTTTTTGGCTTTTCGAGACAGGGTTTCTCTGTGTAGCTTTGCGCCTTTCCTGGAACTCGCTTTGGAGACCAGGCTGGCCTCGAACTCACAGAGATCCGCCTGCCTCTGCAAACCCCCCCCCCCCCAGTGCTGGGATTAAAGGCGTGCGCCACCACCGCCCGGCTAAGTTAGTTTCTTGATGCCATCCTCCAGACCCCTCTTCTCTCCAAACTCTACTAAATTCAATTAGTGTCAAGACCTTTCCTTTCTAACTCACCCATGACATAGAGTTCCAGATGTGTCAAACATCTCAGTACCGGCTAAGTTTGGTTCAGCACATTATTTTATAAACTCCCCCACAAATGGTTATGGTAGTCTATGACAACGTTCCCTAAGTGAGTCTGTGGTGGTGGAGGTGGTTCAGCCAATGAGGCGAGTCCTAGTTGTACTCCTGAGGATCCCAGGTATGGCCCCTGAGATGAGTTACTTGTTCTCTTGCCTCATTTTCCAGGGTACAGCAACAATGTTAAGCATTCTACCAACTGTGAGGATTGTTAAGGCAATCAGTAAGTTACCATATACACAATCCTCAGCATGCACTCTGAGGGACTTAAAGCTCAACAGCTATTTCTTGTGATTTTATCATATTCTAGGGTACTGAGATTCATATTAAGGGCCCAGTGGAGAATCAAATTGAGGATGAGTGGTGTAGCTCAGTTGGTAGTGTGCTTGCTTAACACGCATGAAGCCCCAAGTTTAGTGTTCCCTAATACTGCATAAAGCAGGACTTGCTGGTGCACATATGTCTCATGGCACTCAGTCAGTGAAGGCAGGAAGTTCAAAGCCATCTTTGGCTACTCAGTGAGATCCAGATCACTTGGGCCACATCAGACCCTGTTTCAAAATGGTTTGATTTTACTCACTCAAATCTTTCCTTCAGGAGAAGTTCCAGGAAACTGTGAAAAAATTGAGTGAACTCCAAGAAAACCACAGAGCTCAGCTACGTCTCATGACAAAACAAATAAAAGCCTGGAAGGTAAGAGCCTGAGCTCATTGGTGTCCAGCGACTTTCTGCTGTGAGTCTAGGCATAGAGGAAGATTGGGAGACACATGGGGTGGCTGGTTATCACCAATATAGAGGAAGATTGGGAGACATACAGGGTGGCTGGTTACCACCAACATAGAGGAAGATTGGGAGACACATGGGGTTGCTGGTTACCACCAACATAGAGGAAGATTGGGAGACACATGGGGTTGCTGGTTACCACCAACATAGAGGAAGATTGGGAGACACACGGGGTGGCTGGTTACCACCAACATAGAGGAAGATTGGGAGACACATGGGGTGGCTGGTTACCACCAACATAGAGGAAGATTGGGAGACACATGGGGTGGCTGGTTACCACCAACATAGAGGAAGATTGGGAGACACATGGGGTGGCTGGTTACCACCAACATAGAGGAAGATTGGGAGACATACAGGGTGGCTGGTTACCACCAACATAGAGGAAGATTGGGAGACACATGGGGTGGCTGGTTACCACCAACATAGAGGAAGATTGGGAGACACATGGGGTGGCTGGTTACCACCAACATAGAGGAAGATTGGGAGATATACAGGGTGGCTGGTTATCACCAACATAGAGGAAGATTGGGAGACATACAGGGTGGCTGGTTATCACCAATATAGAGGAAGCCCAAAGAACACAGTGCTGTTTTTATGTCCTAGTTGTTTACGTCCGTGAGATTTTATCACCAAGTCCCCCCATCTTCCAACGATAACTGGCTGGGATTTCTGATAATCCAGCCAGAAGCTAAACTGGCTTCTCGGCTTCCTTGCACGTAGCCTCCTCTCTATAAACTGAACCTGTTGCCACCGTACACAGGTGTAAGGTACCAACATCTACCCCTTGTCTCATGCATATTTTACTTAGTAGGATGTCCTCAACCTCCATCTTTACTCCCTGGCCCAGATTTTAATTCTTTAGAAGAAAATATTTTATTTAAAAAAAAACTAAATATGGGGGGGGGGGGGGTTGTGCACTTGAGTTCAGGTGCCGAAAGGGGGCCAGAAGAGGGCGTTAGACCTCCTGGAGCTCATGTGACAGGTGGCTGTGAACCACCTGGGTCCGTCCTGGGAACCAAACTCAGGTCCTCTGTACGAGCACTACTCCCTCCTTCTCAACTGCTGAGCCGTCTTCCTAGCCGAAAGACTTTCGTCTTTAATACTCAAAACTACGGATTTACTCTGTGGCACACTTTGTTTTGCGTTTTCAATCCATGAATCTGGGGTCCCTGCTGTAGAGGAGGTAGACTCTGGAAGAAAGGAGCTGAAGAGTGAGGTGGACTAAAGACGCATGCAGTAGCCAGTTTTATTTAAAGCATCAGACAATTTATATTCTGAGGGTTAAGCAAGGTCATATGAGCAAAGTTCGCATGGATATATACAATCACAAGGACAAGGCATGCCTGGAAACACTATCTGAATAACAATAAGATAGTGGGTAATCTGAAATAAACCCACTCCTATTTACTGTACCCGGGAGGGGCACGAAAACACATTCCAGGAACAGTCAGGTGCTTTGGAAGGCTGAAGTCACAAGACTCATGTCCTGTTATCTCACAAGCACTCAGAATTCTCACACAGCTTCTTCCATGGACAGTGTTCTAACACTCAGGCATCAACTTTCTGACCTTGCTGTGATTGTCAGAGTCCAGCTCTTGACCTCACCAGGTCAGAAACTAATCTTTGAGAGAATTCAGCAAGAGGGTCACCCCAGCCTGAATATCATGAGGACAGAAAAAGGAACCTATGTGATTTCTAAGACACAGGGATCTTGCTGTAAAACCTGCATACCACAGCTGCATACCACGGCTGCATACCACAGCACACCAAGGGCTTCAGACATTTCCATGGCTGACTGTAGAGGCTGCCTACGTGTCTGAAGTACATTCTTTCTGCAAGTATATTTATTATCGATTACTTAAAGAAAAAACGAATAAAAAAGGAAGGGCATATCTGCTCCTAGATATGGTACAGGAGAAGGTTTAGTGTGGATATGAGGGAGAGTATAGCAAGAGACATGTGGGAGAGTCTGAGGCAGGCCATATGAAGGGATTGGGGAGTGGAAGGCAAGAGAGCCAAGAGAGTAAAGGGTAGACAAAAAGAGCCGGGTAAGCAAAATGGCTGGACTGTATAGGAAAGAGGCCAGCCCCTGCGCTGCAGAAGTTTAAGGTAATGGCAGGGTATGCCAGCCAAAAGAACCCTGTAACAGATGGGGACTGAGGGATGCTAGAAGAACCTGGTGCTCCACTTTAATACGTGAAATAGGCACCTCAGTTAGCCATTTGTCCTGGGTTTGAGACCTAACACTTACTCCACAGTCAGTTTCCACAGCTAGTGCCGTTTCTTCTCTCAGCTTCCTTTACATCTGGATGTTTAACTTGAATTTCCAGAACATGTTTTCCTTTACTTCACTTCTTCCTGGATTGTGGGAAATGAAGGAAACTGATTGTATCTAATGTACATGGAAAACCTCATGAATATCAAGGCTAAAGTGTACCTGTCTCCTCCCACAAGGCTAAAGCTGTACCTGTCTCCCACACAATGCCCATTCTTCTTAAGTCAATAACCATTCGTCACAACATGATAGTGAAGCAACTTCAGACATTTCAAGTCTCTGACTCCAAAGTGAAAGTCAAGCCCCACCACATAAGCATTTGGGTCTTCCGGAGTGAACAGTGACCCTGGGCTGCTGGGTAACGGTCCTCAGCCCTAGCCAAAGCCGGCCACACCAATACCTCCTTTCCCAGGAGTCAAGATCTCTCCTGTACCACTGTAGTTGTCTTACAATTACAATATAGTGATATTCTTCACAGCTTGCAAGGAATTCCACCATCAGAGATGCCTTCTTACTCATCAAATACAAACCTGTGTTTCCCCTTACAACAGATAACGTGTTTGAACAAGGCCCTGCTTCTGTGATTCAGGTTTCCAGGGTTCCTACCCCACCTTTCTCCCATATTTTAGTTGAACCAGAAGAAAAATCACTCACTAATTAGATTAATTAAGGAATTAGAGACACTATTTCCACTAACCTCTGAGTGCCAGGTAAGAACTGGAAGCGTTCTTTCTGCTTGAGCGGCTCACTGGGAGCTTACATGACTGTAGCTGCTCCTGCTTTCCTTCGGGCGTTTGTTGGTGGTGATACGTGTGTAGCATAAGCTTTGCCATTGTTAACTATACAGTTGAGGACGCTGAGTGCTTTTTGAGGCTGTTGTTGTGTGACCATCACCGTATTCACCTCCAGGACGTTTTTCTGCTCTTCAAACTGAAATGGGAACTGCCATTCTTCCCGTCTCCCAGTGCCTGGTAGCCACTGTGATCTGTGTCTATGAAACTGACCACTGCTGGTGATCTGAATAAATGAATCACGGAAGCACTAGTCCCCAAGTTCTGTGCTTATGTCTCTTAGCAGGATGTAGTCAAGCTTCTTGTTTATCCATTTCCTGGTCAATTCAAAGATGGGTGTGTCCCCATGTTTGATCAGTTTTCATTGACTCTAGGCTGCCATAGAGGATCAGAGGCAAAGAATCCACTCTAACTTTGAGAATCTCCAGCGTTTTCTACATGAAGAAGAGAAGTCTTACCTTTGGAGATTGGAGAATGAAGGAGAGCAGGTGCTGAGGAGTCTGAAGGATGCTGAGGCCAATCTACAGCAGAAGTATGAGAAAACTGAAAGCCAAGTTCAGGAACTGGAGGCAAAATGTGAGGGCCCAGCCCAGGATATACTACAGGTGAGGCTGTGGGCTAGGAGGCAGGAAAGAAGGCAGGTGATTCCCATGGCAGGAGGATACTGGTAAGGAAGCATGGAGATTGGAGAGGCTTGCCTTCACTCAGAATGACAAGAATATTGGAGTGGGAAATTCAGGGTCGTGTTTGAGTAGCCTCAGGGGGACTTCCACTAGTCTACAGATTCCTTAGGTTAACTAGAAAAATTCACTTCCTCAGGGTGAACGTGGAATGACAAAATGGGATAATTTCTGCCACATTATCTTAGCCACTGAGGTATCTGTCAAACTCATTCTTAAAATACTCCTTCAAGTGACAGATGGTGACAGTGTAGACATATAAGAGAATAATACCTACTCCATGACTTACTATAGGGTCCCTGATCCAGAACTGACTCATAGCTGCATGATTGATGTATCCCTCCCATCAAGATAAATAGCTGGAGCTCTGAGTTCTCCTTCCTCGGCTGGGGCTGCTGGTTACAGTGGGAGGTTGTGAATGTGGCATATATGCTCCACTTCACAGTGGTACCTGCTTTTTCACTTCAATGGCCCAGTCTCAGGAGTTGTGTGCAGATTTACCACTAGGGACTCGTGTTACAAGTTATCGCCAACAAGAATTCTCTGTGAAGGAGATTAGTCACCGAAAGTAGTCTTGTCAGAGGAAGGGTGAGAAAAGCTCTTGGTTCACATTCTAAGCAGCCCACATTATAGGCTTTACACAGGCTTCTACAATGGAGAAGCAGGCTTCCACTTTATTGGCTAGAGACTGGATTTTAGATGGAAGTTTTCCTGTGTCCCACCCAGTCCCGAGGCCTGCACCTGCTTATAAAATAATCACTCAGAGGCTTACAATAATTACAAACTGTATGGCCTATGGCTTCAGCTTCTTGCTAACTAGCTTTTTCATCTTAAATTAACCCATTTCTATTAATCTATATGTTGCCACGTGGCTGTTACCACTCTGCTGGCATCTTGTTCCTTGGGTGGCCGGCTGACATCTCTCTTGACTTCACCCTTCTTCTCTCTGTATCTCTGCTTGATTTCCCACCTGGCTGTAAGCTTTCTTGCATAGGCCAAAGCAGCTTTATTTATTATCCAGTGGGAGCCACACATATTCACAGCATACAGAAAAACATCCCACAGCACTGGATGTAAAACACTCCTCTGTATCCATCATTTGGGTGGATAGATGATCTTATTCTTTCTGTGAGAGGAGTTTATTCAGAGAACAACTTCACATGGAAAACTCCATGAGATACTGATGTAAACACAATCATCTTTTGCTTTTGTTTTTTCATAGGATGTGAAAAACACTTTGAGCAGGTAAGTCTTGCATGAACACCCAAAAGAAGGGGGTCAGGGCATTTAGAGCTGCCTGGAACATAATACCGAGGAAAGCCCCATCTTTTGCTTCTCCTAGGTTTGAGACTGTGAAGCTAGAACCATGGGAGGCCGAACTCCCGAAGGTTCAGACTACATGTAATGTTTCTGAGCTTTACTTTGATGTGAAGACATTGTTAAGATGCCACCAAGGTAGGTGTGTAAAATACAGCTTGGAGGATCTTAAGCAGGAGCCAATGTCACCTCCTGCTGCAACACATACTCACTTACCACTTTTTAACACTTATCTGTGGGTATAAGGACAAATATTTAGATTGTAGTTAGGGATTGTGTTGGTTTAGTGAGGGCCATGTGGGGGTGGGTTCTCCTCCAAGATCCATGACTTCACTAGCATTGAGGGGTTGGCCAGGTTTCCAGCACCAGGCATGGTTTCCTGTTGTTGAGGGGGTCTTAAGTCCAATTAGAGAGCTGTTGGTTACCACCAGGTTATGTGTGCCACTACTGCACCCCATGGTTGTGTCATGTTGGTCATTGTTTTGGTTCATGGGCATCATATCTGATTAGGACTCTTGGTTGCTGTCTTCCTTTGGAGGCTTGTGTGACATCTTCTGGTTCCATGAGCGCTAGTCCTTAGGGAGGAGGCCCCCGAGCTCGGTGTCTGCAGTGCGTGGTGTCTTTAGCAGCAGGAACTTATCTTTTGCCCCTGGGGGACAAGAAAGGGCAATAGCAATAGGCTGTATGTTTTGGAAATCTCTTGGCCTACTCTGACCAACAACTCAAAGAGGGCTTCTCATGTCTGGTATTGGAGTTTCTGCTAGACCATCTTTGGCTTTTGAAGGAAACATTGTCAACCCAGATGAGGAAAGTTCACTCAAACTATGTATGTATACTTATATACAGACTTACTCGTATTATAAGGTTTTTTAATTAAACAGATAATAGTACTACTCCTTTTGACTTTTGTAAGACCTCTTTACTTTTATTTTACCATCCTTCCTCCTTCTTCTGTGTTTATCTCCCTCTCCCTCTCCAAAGAACCCCCTTTCCCTTTTCCCCAATCCCATCACTTATACACTGCTATTCCCCTCTCCATTGCTTCCCACCCACCTCCCCCATGCCAGGAATGGTCCATTTTTAATTTCCTGGTTTCTAGAGTCACTCCAGGAGATGCACTCACTCACATATGAAGATCTGGTTGCTCACTTAGTTTTGTGGAGCTGTCACACTCTTGCTTTTTAGTATTTAGCATGCTTTGCACATTATGTATGTACAGCTCTCTGTACGGACTTGTCTAGATCCTGCATTTCCATTATTAGCCGTGTCTCTGAAGGCAACACCCAGTCTCTCAGCTTCTCCATATCAAATAAAATGAGGAAAGGAAAGCCCACTCGGAATGTGGGCAACATCATGCCATGAGCTGGAGTCTTGGGAACAAAGAAAAGACAAAAAGGAGAAAGCAAGCCTAGCACAGGCCTTCCTTTCATCTGTATCTGTTTCCTGGTCAGTGCAAGGGACCAAACCATCCCTGCAGACACGCCTTCCTTCTGTGATGGACTGCATTCCTCTGAACTGTGGAAGAAGACAACCCCCACCCCACCCCACTCCACCCCACCCCACCCCACCCCGTTGCTTTTTGTCAGGCATTTGATCACAATAAGGAAACTGTAAATGAAAGAAGGCATTAAACTTGGGGCTTATGCTTCCTCAGGGTTAGAATCCACAATGGCAGAGCACAGGCATGGTGGCAGGCGCAGCTGAGAGTGTACTTCTTCTTGATCTTCAAGTAGTCAGTAGAAAGAGGGTGCCTGGGGATGGCTAGAATCTTTGGAAACCTCAAAGCTCATCCCCAGTGGCACAGCTCCTCCAACTAGGCCACCCTGACTAATCCCTACCAAAGATTTCCACCAACTGGAAAGCATTCCAGTCTATGAATCTATGGGGGCCATTCTCACTCAAAACTCCACAGTAGTTGAGCAGTATGTAGAATGCTGGAAATAATTTTAGGGACTGTGGTGGTTTGAAAGAAAATGGCCCTCAAAGGTAGTGGCACTATTAGGAGGTGTGGGTATGGCCTTTGGGAGGAAGTGTGTCACTGTGGAGGTGGGTTTGAGGTTTCCTATGCTCAGGATACCACCCAGTGTCTCAGACAACTTCTAGTTGCCCGTATGCTGCCATGTTTCCCGCCATGATGATAGTGGACTGAACCTCTGAAACCGTATGCGAGCCACCCCAATGAAATGTTTTCCTTGATAGGAGTTGCCGACATCATGGTGTCTCTTCACAGAAATAGAAACCCTAACTAAGACAGGGTCTCTTCTCAGATAATGAATGAACACGTCAGATACAAAAATGAAATGCTGCTGATCCCAATGAATAAGCTTCCTGCTCTGTCCTGTTACCCAGTGCCTGCCACAATCTACATGATTACAAAATTCAAAAGCTTCTAGTCAATAAAACTTTGGGGAAGTTGTTTGTTTCTCTTTCCAGTTGGTGATTATTTTGCTTGTGCTTTCTGCTTATTTGTGTTTTCTTTCCTTTATTCTGAGATAGTGTTTGCATAGGATATGAACAGAGTTGGGAAGGGCTCCTTTATGCTCTATGGTCAAAGTCACCAATCCTAAAAGTTCTGAATTCAGGAGGGTTTGGGGCAGAACAGAACCAGAGTAACTCCAAAGAGTTCTGATCCTTGGCATCTCCGAGTAACTCAAGATGCTGGTGATACAGATGAGGGGGTTGACTCATTGTTGCCACTGCTGATTAGGCATGTCCCATGTCCCAGGCAAACGTGAACTCACTTAACTCTACTCACTGGTGTCTGCACTAGGCTCGATGATTTCCCCTTCCTAGGCACTTCACACATAGTTCACATAGCTAGGGTTTCAATGTCAAATCATGCCCAGATTTGAACACAGAGGGTTTGTATTGTTGTTTGTTTGTTTGTTTTTAAATTATCCTGTTTCCAGCTCCCAAAAGACTGGTTGTGGTTGTTTTACAGTCAGTGTGACTCTGGACCCAAGCACAGCCCATCCTGACCTAATTCTGTCTAAAGATCGAAGACAAGTGACTTACAAACAATGCCACAAGAATCTTGAGGCTTCTACTGAGAGATTTTATGTTTTACCCTGTGTCCTGGGCTGTAAGGACTTTACTTCAGGAAGATACTACTTTGAAGTGTCTGTTGAGAATGCAACCACTTGGGATGTGGGAGTCTGTATAAAGGATGTGCCGAGGGGCTTTGACATGAAGAAGGAGCCTGAGTTTGGATTCTGGACCATCAGGATGTGTAAAAAGGATGGCCTTGGAGCTCTCACTTCTACCCCTACTTCCCTTCATCTGACTGAGAAGCCCCAGCTGGTGGGAGTTTTTCTAGACTATGAGGCTGGGGTTGTATCCTTTTACAATGTGACCTCTGGCTCCCACATCTTCACCTTCCCCAAGGCTTCCTTCCGGGATACTCTGAGGCCCTTTTTCCAGGTTTATGAACATTCTCCTTTGTTCCTGCCTGCCAGAAATGATCAAGGGATGGGGTAAAGTCCTCACGGTGAAGGCATCACAGAAAATACATAAATCCCACAAGGCAGAAACTTGAATGTTTTCCTTCACCACTGTCCCAATGCTTTGGATGAACCTTCAAAAAATGTGCACTGATTTGATTGTCGGAAAGGCTAAAAATATCATACATGGTCAGCTTCAGGGAAAGGAAAACAAAACAATACAATAGTGGCAATTATCTTTTTTCCTCCTTCACTTTTGTGCAGTGATTCTCAACCTTCCCAAAGCTGCGACCCTTTAATACAGTTCCTCACGTTGTGGTGCCCTCAACTATAAAATTATTTTGTTGCTACTTCATAACTGTGATTTTGCTGCTCTTATGAATCATAATATAAATATTTTTGGACTTAGAGGCTCACCAAAGGGGTAGTGACCCACATTTTGAGAACCACTGCATTTTGTGGGTTCAGGACTTTGAATTCAGTTATATATATCTTTATAGTTGTGATAAAATGACTCCAAGGTCAAGTTTTTTAGTCTTTACATTTTTTTGGTGTGTTTCAAACTCCAGTATGAGAAATGAACTAATGGCAGTGTCTTTTAACTGAATAAAGGAACAAGATCTGAAAATAACATCAACTTAACTATTGTTCTTGCTGTTGCTATTGTTAATTTTTTTTCCAATAGGACACTCGAGTCAAAGTTGTGTGTAAGACCATTTGGTATATCCCAACTAGACTACCACATTTCAAAGAAGTAGATTTCAACGTATTAAAATAACTCTTTCAAGATGTGTTGAAATATTGAATGATTCTAAACATACCACACAGTCAGAGAAAAAAATCTTAAGGTAATTGTTGTTTTCTGTTCAAACTGGGTACACCTGGGAGGGATTTTTTTCTAAATTAAATTATTTGAAGTGGGGAAAATACACCTTTAATCTGGATCATTTGAGGTGGGAAGAGCTGCCTTTAATCTGGGCCACACCTCTGGTGGCAGCCTACATAAGGATATGGAAGAAGGACATTCTCTCCCTCCCACCCCCCCCCCACCCCCCCACCCCCCCACCCCTGCCTTCTTGCCTCAGTTCTCTCTGGCATGTCCACTCATTCACTGGCATTGGAGCCTACTTCTTTGGGTATTCCAGCATATACTGTAGAGCAACTTCATGGATTGAACAACTGCTAGAATTTTGGACTTTCCGTTGGTAGACAGCTGTTGTTGGACTAGCTGAACCATATCCTGTAAGCCACACTAATGAATCATATATATATATATGGTTATTGATATCCATGCTTCATTCCTACTCTGGAAAAGAGGCATGGGGACTGAAAAAAAATTTATACCATTTTCTTCTACAATTAACAATATACTTTGCATGAACTTTTGAGAATATATTTTTCAGTTTCTTAGAAAATTCTATAACCATGTTTCTCATTTTTTATTCCATCCTTCTCTCATAGTTTACATCATCTACACCAGAGACAGACGATCTGAAGTGTGCTCTGTGCCGCTTCACCATGCTGTTAGCTAATATGTTGACCAGTAGATGGCACTCTTGTAATTTTTGGTGGCTCTGGTCATACAGCTTTGCCTTTAATAAAACATAAATACTTGGACCAAGATCAAATAAATGTACAATTCATCTTGTTCTTACAAATTATTTTAAACAATTTAAGCCAACAATATTTTTGGTGTTTTTTATATTGTTTCTTTTCATTTTTGTTCAAGACAGGGTCTCACTGTATAACTCTAGCTGGAACTAGCTTTGTAGACCAGGCTGGGCCTCGAACTCACAGAGATCCATTGGTCTGACTCTACCTCTTGGGTTCTAGGAGTAAAGGCATGCACAACACACCTGGCAATAATATTAATTTTTATTCAAATCAACAAAAAAATTTCTTTCTTTTAAATAAGGTCTGACTTTATCCCAGGCTGTCCTGGAGTTCACTATGTAGCCCAGGCTCGCTGCTAAACTGATGGAAGTCCTCCTGCCTCAGCCTCCCAAGTACTGAGCACTGAGATTCTAAGTATGAACTACCATGCACAGCTATGATTTTATTGACTGGTTGATTAATTTCAGTTTTTAGAGACAGGATCTCGTGTCTGACCTCAAACTCACAATGTAGCAGATAATGACCTTGAACTTTTGATTCTTTTGCATCTACCTCTTGAGTGCTAGAAATAAACCAGGCACTATCACATCCAATTTATGTGAATCTGGTGGTCAAATAGGGGGCTTCATACATTCTAAGCAGGCTTTCCACCAATTAAGTATATATATACTATATATATTCCTAATATATATAGGTCCCTAAGCCCCTTGGTGGTTTTAAAATGTCACCTTTTAAGAGCCCTCACATCTTATTTTATTATTTTCTTTTAATTTAGCAAATAATCAAGCTCATTAGATTCAGGTTTCATCTCCCATCTGATTTCTTGACAGGTCAGCTCTCAAAGTTTTTGGGGTATCTTTCAGATTTCTTCTATGTGGATCATTCAGTGACCACTTAGGGTCCTTAGTGGCATACCACTGTGCTATGCTGTTTAAGGTGAGAGCTAGGTTCCAGACAGCTCACCATCCTCGAATGGGCAGAGAAGTAAAGATAAGCCCAGTGTGTGCATGTGACTGGCTCTCTCTCTCTCTCTCTCTCTCTCTCTCTCTCTCTCTCTTCTCTCTCTCTCTCTCTCTCTCTCCCTCTCTCTCTCTTCTCCTCTCTCTCTCTCCTCTCTCTCTCTCTCCTCTCTCACTTCTCTCTCTCTCTCTCTCACCCCTCTCTCTCTCTCTCCTTCCCTCCCTTCCTCCCTCCCTCCTCTCCCTTCCCTCTCTCTTGGTAATTCCCAAGCAATCACATCCTTAAAATTGTAGTAAGAAGAAAGTTCATATCAAGTCAGAGGAACTGTTATCCCACATTGTGTGTTGAATGTTCCTTCCTTTCTTTCTTATTTTAAGAGAATGATGGGCTTTGAGTTTTTCCAACTATATATGGATTATTGGTTTAAAAGTGGCATAAATCATGAAAGAGAAAGAAGTGAAAATTTCTCTTTTCCTTTGGGACTTAGTCCAACAGAAATTGACTACTTCCCAGGGCTGTTTAGAGCTGTCAAGGAGCAGAGGGAATGCTCACCCAGGGGAGTTATTTCCCCCTCCCCGTGTACATTCCCCTCAGATGGCAACGGGGAGGGAGGGAGGGAGGGAAGGAGGGAGGGGAGGAGGGCCCTCCCCGCTCTCCCCGCCCTCCCCCTCCACACAGGGACCAGCTCTAACTGTGAGCAGGGGTCAAGCAACAAAGCAAGCAAGTGTTCCTGCTCCTGGAGAGAACAGGGAAAGGGTTTGCTGGCTTCCTTGTTTTGTTTTCTTGTTGTTTTGTAGTTTCTCTGGGCTGCCTGGCAGAGCCAAAATGATTCAGGTTCCCAACATGAAAGGGCACAGGTGGAGAGAGGGTCTCACACCAGAGAAAGCCACCAGAAGGTTTGACTAAGGTTTAGGGTGTGTCTTCCCACCTCAAATGATTCAATCAAGAAAATCCTTCACTGATGTGGCCAGCTGCTTGGGTTTTAGTTAATTCCAGATGTGGTCAAGTTGGCAACCAAAATTAGCCATCACACCGCTCTTGCAAAGGACCTGGGCTCAGTTTCTAGCACCTAGGTAGTGTAGTTCACAACTGCCAGTAACTCCAGTTTCACGGCATCCAATGCCTTCTTACCTCCTGCTCCAGCACACACATGGTACACATGAACTCATGTGGGCACAAACTTACACACCCAATACATAAATAGATAGATAGATAGATAGATAGATAGATAGATAGATAGATAAACAAACAAATAAATAAAAATTAAATAAGTAAATAAATCTTTAAAAAAATTAAAAGTGAGAGGCCCTGTCTTCAAAAACAGTGTAGATGGCATCCTGAAGAACAAAACCTAATGTTGACCTCTGGCCTCCATGTTTATGCTTATGTACAAAGGCATGCTCATGTACTTGTACACACACACACACACACACACACACACACACACACACACACACACAAACTCACACACAGAGAGAAAGGTGCTCCAGACCACAAGAGTGTTTTGTTTGTGAACTGTTTAGGAGCAAGAACATTATCACATTCTTTCAGTAGTTGCTGAGCACAAGTGTGTAGTCACACATACCATGGTGCTGAGGTCATGAAAAAATGTAAAACATTTTTCTAAGTGCCATGGACACTCAACAGTCTGAGGATTTTTTAACAATTAAGTAGGCTCATTCAAATGCCAAACTTTCATCTCTAAAGGAATTGGAAGTGGACTGTAAAGGGGAGAAGATAGAGGCTTTTTCCGACTGCACACTTAGATCTACCTGCAGTTAAAACTGACATCAGAGTGAAAACAAAAAGTGAGCTGGGATCACATGAATGTTTCATGCAGGAGTAGGACAGAGTCAGCTTGATGTTTTTAGATCATTTAATCTGGTGGTCATGTAGAGATGAAAGCACTCCCAAGTATTCCGGATACTTCCCGTAAACCACACTCCTCTGCTTATCGCTGGTCCAGAGTCTTTTGGAGATTAATAAAGAACTCATAAATTCCAGGATAAGGGAGGGGCACCAACACCTGACCATGGGTCCCAACCAGATCCCACCCTACACCAGACCACAGGTCCCAACCAGGTCCCACCTACACCAGATCACAGGTCTCAACCAGGTCCTACCATATAGAATGGAAGAGGGCTCTGATCAAGGGAGCTTTCTAGTAAGCTAACTGGCTGGGGTAGGGCTGTGTGCCCACCAAGGAGCCTTCCTAAGAAGGCTCATAGGTTGCCCGTTAGGAAAACAATGGAAGGGAAATATGTTCCTTTGAAGGAATGTTTGAGTGAATGTGCTGCCTGCTTGTCTGCCAGACTCTCTCGGTGTTGTCGAGAACCCCTTTTCCAGGATGACTATGTAGAAACTGCTTTAAGGAAATGAGCTGCCTGTTGAGTCAAGGAGCAGGATAAAGTAGACAGGAAGGGCTCCTTTGGTAGGCCGTTGAAAATGGGTGCCAGAATTGGGGGAGTGGAGTTTCCTTTGGACCTCCCACCAGCCTGCTTCCTCTAATTGATAGTCTTTCTGTTCTTGGGACTCCTTTGCCCTGTGTCTGTGGTCTGCCTTGGTTTCTACCCCACCAAGCCGGGATCGTCTCGCTTTTGCTTGTCCTCTTTCTGTTATAAAGACAGACGAACTAAAGAAAAACACCAGCCTGGTTGCACCACTTAGATGAGTTCCATCTCACCATCTGAGTTCCTTAGATGTCTGGGTTTTTTTAATGTTTCTGTTTAACTGGCTCTAGGTTACAGGTCCCTGTGATCCAGCCTGCACCACACTGGAAAAGCTGTGAGTAATTGCATCTGATCACTCCAGGCAAGAATCTCTTGCTTGGCTTTTTCCAGACCACATTTCAAGCACTTCCCTCAACATCTTAGGTCCCAAGTGTCAAGAAGAGACAAGAGAAAGCCAACTCACGGTGAAGTCCACTACGGAAGAAGCAGCTCTCTGACTTGAATGCCATGGCAAGGAGAAACAGTAAAAAGCTGTCATGGAGGAGTAACATGAGGAAGAAGCTTTTGTTCAGACATGATCGATGGA